TCTCCAGAATAGACCACATCCTGGGTCATAAATCAGGTCTCAACCGGTATCAAAAGATTGGGGTCATTCCCTGAATATTTTCAGACCACAATGCTCTGAAGCTAGAACTCAATCACAAGAGGAAATTTGGAAAGAACCCAAATACATGGAGACTAAAGAACATCCTTCTAAAGAATGAATGGGTCAACCAGGAAATTAAAGAAGAATTGAAAAAATTCATCGAAACAAATGATAATGAAAACACAACAGTTCAAAATCTTTGGGATGCAGCAAAGGCAGTCCTGAAGAGAGAAGTATAGAGCAATACAAGCATTTCTCAAGAAACAAGAAAGGTCTCAAATACACAACCTAACCTTCCACCTAAAGGACCTGGAGAAAGAGCAGCAAAGAAAGCCTAAATCCAGCAGGAGAAGATAATTAATAAAGATAGAAACAGAAACCAATGAAATAGAAACCAAAAGAACAATAGAACAGATCAATTAAACTAGGAGTGGCTTCCTTGAAAGAATTAATAAGATTGATAACCCCCTGGCCAGACTTTGATAATAAAGGACCCAAATTAATAAAATCATGAATGAAAGAAGAGAGATCACAATGAACATCAAGGAAGCACAATTATAAGAACATATTATGAGAAACTATAAGCCAGCCAAATTAGACTATCTGAAAGATATGGGTGCATTCCTACAGACATATAAATTACCAAAACTGAACCAGGAAGAAATAGAAAACCTGAACACACCCATAACCAGAAAGGAAATTAAAGCAGTAATCAAAAATCTCCCAACAAACAAAACTCCAGGGCCGGGTGGCTTTCCTGGGGAGTTCTACCAAACATTTAAAGAATTAATACCTATTCTCCTAAAACTGTTCCAAGAAATAGAAATGGAAGGAAAACTTCCAAACTCATTTTATGAGGCCAGCATTACCTTGATCCCAAAACAAGACAAAGACAAAAAGGAGAATTAGAGACCATTATCCCTGACGAACACAGATGCAAAAATTCTCACCAAAATACTAGCCAATAGGATCCAACAGTACATTAAAAGGATTATTCACCGTGACCAAGTGCGATTTATTCCTGGCCTGCAAGGGTGGTTCGACATCTGCAAATCAATCAGTGTGATACAATACATTAATAAAAGAAAGGACAAGAACAATACGATACTCTGAATAGATGCAGAAAAACCATTTGACAAAGTACAGCATCCTTTCTTTATCAAAACTCTTCACAGTGTAGGGATCGAGGGTACATAACTCGATGTCATAAAAACTATCTATGAAAAACCCACAGCAAATGTCATTCTCTCTTTTTATTTTTTTTATTTTTATTTTTTTTTGCCAATATCATTCTCAATGGGGAAAAAACTAAGAGCTTTTCCCGTAAGGCCAGGAACACGGCAGGGATGGCTACTCTCACCACTGCTATTCAACATAGTACTAGAAGTCCTAGCCTCAGCAATCAGACAACAAAAAGAAATTAAAGGCATCCAAATCGGCAAAGAAGAAGTCAAACTATCACTCTTCGCAGATGATATGATACTATATGTGGAAAACCTAAAAGACTCCACTCCAAAACTGCTAGAACGCCTACAGGAATTCAGTGAAGTGTCAGGATATAAAATCAACGCACAGAAATCAGTTGCATTTCTATACACCAACAACAAGACAGAAGAAAGAGAAATTAAGGAGTCAATCCCATTTACAACTGCACCAAAAAACATAAGATACCTAGGAATAAACCTAACCAAGGAGACAAAGCAGCTATTTTCAGAAACCTATAGAATACTCATGAAGGAAATTAAAGGAAGACACAAAGAAATGGAAAAACGTTACATGGTCATGGATTGGAAAAACAAATACTGTTAAAATGTCGATGCTACCCAGAGCAGTCTACACATTTAATGCAATTCCTATCAAATACCATCGAGGTTTTCATAGAGCTGGAACAAATAATCCTAAAATTTGCATGGAATCAGAAAAGACCCCCAAAGGAATGCTGAAAAAGAACAACAAAACTGGAGGCATCACAATTCCAGACTGCAAGCTCTATGACAAAGCTGTAATCATCAAGACAGTATAGTACTGTAACAAAAACAGACACATAGATCAATGAAACAGAATAGAGAGCCCAGAAATGGACCCTCAGGTCTATGGTCAACTAATCTTCAACAAAGCAGGAAAGAATATCCAATGGAAAAAAGACAGTCTCTTCAACAAATAGTGTTGGGAAAATTGGACAGCGACAAGCAGAAGAATGAAACTGGACCATCTTCTTATACCACACACAAAAATAGACTCCAAATGGATTAAAGACCTCAATGTGAGACAGGAATCCATCAAAATCCTTGAAGAGAACACAGGCAGCAACCTCTTCAACCTCAGCTGCAACAACTTCTTCCTAGAAACATCCCCAAAAGCAAGGGGACCAAGGGCAAAAATGAACTATTGGGACTTCATCAAGAGCAAAAGTTTTGCACAGCAAAGGAAATAGTCAACACAACCAAAAGACAACTGACAGAATGGGAAAAGATATTTGCAAATGACATATCAGATAAAGGGCTAGTATCAAAAATCTATAAAGAACTTATAATAACACCCAAAGAACAAATAATCCAATCAAGAAATGGACAGAAGATATGAACAGACATTTCTGCAGAGAAGACATCCAAATGGCCAACAGACAGATGAAAAAGTGCTCAACATCACTTGGCATCAAGGAAATACAAATTAAAACTACACTGAGATACCATCTCACACCAGTCAGAATGGCTAAAAAAAAAAACAAGTCAGGAAACATCAGGTGTTGGCAAAGACGCAAAGAAAGGGGAACCCTCCTGCACTGTTGGTGGGAATGCAAGCTGGTCAGCCACTCTGGAAAACAGCATAGAGGTTCCTCAAAAAGTTGAAAATAGAGCTACCTTATGACCCAGCAATTGCACTACTGGGTATTTACCCTGAAGATACAAATGTAGTGATCAGAAGGGACACGTGCACCCAAATGTTTATAGCAGCAATGTCCACAATAGCCAAACGATGGAAAGAACCTAGATGTCCATCAACAGATGAATGGATAAAGAAGATGTGGTATATATACACAATGGAATACTATGCAGCCATCCAAAGAAATAAAATCTTAGTATTTGTAATGATGTGGAGGGAACAAGAGGGAGGGTATTATGCTGAGTAAAATAAGTCAATCAGAGAAAGACAATTATGATATGAGCTCTCTGATATGAGGAATTTGAGAGGCAATGTAGGGGGTTTGGGGAGTAGGGAAGGAAAAATGAAACAAGATGGGACCAGTGAGGGAGACAAACTCTTAATCTCGGGAAACAAATTGAGGGTTGCTGGAGGGGAGGGTGATGGACATTGGGGAGGGTATATGCTATGCTGAGTGCTGTGAATTGTGTAAGACAGATGAATCACAGACCTGTACCCCTGAAACAAATAATACATTATATGTTAATTAAAAAAAAAAAAAGACTGAGAGATGGTGAAATCAACCCAATTAACTGAGAGAATAAAATGTGATGGCAGGGAAATAAAAACAGATGTCCAGACAATAACTAAATGAACGTTCAGAGCAGTATTATTAATGGCCAAAAAGTGGAAACAACCCAAAGGTGCATCAAATGATGAATGAACAAGGGTTTTAGCCCCCAGTGGAGTACTGTTTGATAATAAGGAATGAAGCACTGATATATGCTATGACACAGATGAACCCCAAAAATATTAAGCAAAGGAAGCTAGGACCACACATTGTGTGATTCCCTATATATGAAATATTCAGAATGGGCAACTCTATTCAGGTGAGAAGTAGACTGGTGGTTGCCTGAGCCTGGGGGCAAGGACTAAGGGTTTCTTTTCAGAGTAATTAAAATGTTCTACTTAGGGGCGCCTGGGTGGCTCAGTGGGTTAAAGCCTCTGCCTTCGGCTCAGGTCATGATCCTGGGGTCCTGGGATCGAGCCCCACATCGGGCTCTCTGCTCGGCAGGGAGCCTGCTTCCCTTCCTCTCTCTCTGCCTGCCTCTCTGCCTACTTGTGATCTCTGTCTGTCAAATAAATAAATAAAATCTTAAAAAATAAATGTTCTACTTGATGGCAGTAATGGTTGCACAACTCTATCAATATACTCAGAAACATTGAACTACACATATTAAATGGGTAAATTGTATGGAATGTGCATTCTATCTCAATAAGGCTTTTAAAAAATCCAATGGCAAGATCTAGATAATTTTCTTAATTCTCTCTTTTGGGTGTATATAGTATACATGATCTAAATATTTCTGTACATTTATTATATATTGAAAAGGAAAAGAAAATGAAGGTAATGCCCAAGTTCAACTGGTTTGTGAAATCACTTTTCTGTACAAGTTATCCTGAAATTAGTACAGATTCTATATCCATTTAAAAAAGTGAAGATGAGAAATAAGACAATTTTCTGAAACATTCCATTAAACATTATCTTCTGCTTTTACACGGCTTAGCTCATCATGGTAACAGAGATATCATTAAAAAATATTATTTAGGACACCTGGGTGGCTCAGTTGGTAAAGCATCCAACTCAGGATTTTAGCTCAGGTCACCATCTCATGGGTCATGGAGTCAAGCCAGCATGGGGCTCTGTGCTGGGCAGGGGTCTGCTTGAAATTCTCTCCATCTCCTGCTGCCTCTCCACCTCCCCCTCCACCACAAATAAATAAATAAATCTTTAAAGAAATTATTTAGTTGGACAAAAGTCCCAATTTCTGTGAGGAATGATGTGTAATTTTCAACTTTCCTAAGGGTAACTACTATAAGAAAAAAATGTATAACAAAAATAGCAGAATGAAAGTCAAAGTTTAAGAAATAAGTACATTGTGAAGATATTAAAATTATACTAAATTAATTATAATGAAAATACAAAAGGAAGTGGTCCATGGAAATAAGCATCCTAAAACACTTCATATTATTTAACCAACTACAGATTAACTTGATATGTGACACTTCATACATACCTGATTCCTAATCTGAGCCAGTTTTTCCTTTAAGTCCTTTACCTCATCTTCTAAATTCATACGACAACGTGATGTCACCTCCAGTGAAGCCTCTGACATAGACTGTTTTTTTAGGGTATCGGCCAGTTCTTCTTGAAGTTGTCTCACAGCTACCTAATAAGACATTTCTGTTACTGGTTTTATAAAATCATCTTACTATTAAATTATGTTAACAATATATAACTTTAACCTATATACTTGGAAAATTTCACTACAAACATCAATTCATCTCCTTTTCCTAACATGTACACATTATGGCTGTTTAATGAATTTGGTTAAAGACACAAAAAGATGTTATCCTGCCTAGTCAGTATTATGTTACTTAGATAATTAATTCAGCCCCACTATCCATTCCTTGTGGATGCATTTTCCCAAAGCTTCCCAATCGACTGAAGTCTCAAAAAGAAATGGGTATATAGGTGGAACTAACATTGGTAAATTCTACAGTATGAAATGTTTTCCCTCTTTTTTATTAGAGGCTTCAATTAATGTCAGAGCTCCTCACATGTTCAATCCTCTGCACAAATCCTTTTAATAGATAACTATCTCAGAACATAAGTGAAAAAAAAAAAAAAGAAAAAAAAAAAAGAACATAAGTGAAATCATTCTAATGGCCTTCAAGACCCTAGATGACCTGGCTTTCACCTCTCTCCGTGACCTCCATTCCTGCTACACAAGAATCCTGCCACCCCTCATTAATCTGAAAATGGAGAGCCAATGCCCAATTAGTAAATTTCAGAGATACAATTCTCTTTGTGTTGGACAAACTTATGCCCAAATGATAGTAACTGAGCTTTGAAATGAGCAAATTATTTGTAAAATTGCTTAAGAAAATATAAATAGCAGTGGGAAGATTAAATCAAATATAGTTTTGCTAAAGCTCACCACAGTTGTCCCAAATTATGATTTAATGAAAAGTAAGGGCCTTGAAAGGATTAAAAGGTCATAAGAATAAATGTTTTCAGGCTAAAAATTCAAATTTATATAAATAAGAATAAAATTATGCCAACCTAAAATGTATAAAAAGCTACCATGTATAGCTTGCATAAATATATAAATGTGTAAAAGTATATATGTATATATATATTTATACTTATAAATATATACTTATACTTATGTATATATGTATAAAAAGTACTGAGATACTGTACTTTTTATGCAGTTCATTTGGGAAATATGGAGCTAACTGTCAAGTTAATCTATTTAATTGAAAATTTCAAAATACTCATTTTAGTATTTTGAGCATTTCCATTTATCTGTTCATCATGGTATTAACATGTGATGATAAGAATTAAAATTATTATTTTAGCAGTATAAGATTAAATTATTAATATCAGCCGACTAGTAACAATTTGTAACTTAACTTCTTAAACTTTCATAGAAGACAGAACAATTTTATTCAAATTAAAGCACCTCTCAAGTCTAATTTTTATTGGCTGGATACAAGTTATGCTGACTTACAGTCTATATATTTTTTATATTTAACTAGATTCAAAATTCAGCTATAATCATTTAGGTCATGATCTCGGGGTCATGAGGTGGAGCTCTCCAATGTGGAACCCTCCTGGAATTCTCTCTCCCTCTACCTCTGACCCACTCCCATTCATGTACAGGTGCACTCTTTCTCTCTAAAATAATAATTGTAACAACAATAATCCATAATCAAATATTACTTTGAATTTTCTCAGGAAGCTTGAAAACTATTTATCTTTCTGGATACTTACTTCTCTTTCTACTTTCTCCTTTTCATACACATACATTCTTTCTCTTAAAAGATTACGTTCATTGATTAACTCTTGCTTGCTTGCTTCTATTACAAGAGCTTGCTTTTGACTTTCAGCTTGAAGTTTTTTTATAATATCCTGAAACTGGTCTTGGATATTAATTACTACCTTTTCTTTACTGGAAGCTTTGTTGTAAGCATCATCTAGTTGCTGTTGAAGCAACATATTTTCACTCTGTAGTTGAGATAATCTCTCCTTTAAGGATTCCTGCTTCCCAATGTATTTACTCACTTTATCTTGTGCACTTTGATACGCGTGTTCAATTTCCTTTTTCTGACACTGTGTTTGACTTAGGTCTCTTTGTACACGTTCTAAAACCAAAGTCTTTTCTCTGAGAGCATCTCTTGTGTGATGGAGCTCAGTTTCCAGAGTATTAAATTTACTTTCAGCTTCAGAAAGGTTCTGAGAAAGAAGCTCATTATCTTCTTTTAGTTTAGACACATCAAAATTCAATTTGTCCTGTACACGAAACCATTCGCCTTTTGCTCTCTGGAAAGCAAGTTCTAGGTCTCTTTTTGATGTCTGACTTTGGTCATAATCCTGTATAGCGGTAGCTAGTCTAGCACGGTACGATTCAACTTTTTCGTCCAGTCTTTCTTTGTTTTGCTTTTCATTCTCCAGTTTAGACTTTAGCATTGTGTTCTCAATGGTCAGAGCATTAATCTGTCCACTGTGTTGGAGTTCTGTGTTCGTTAATCTTTCCTCAGTCAGTTTTATGGTCTTCTGAAGACTGACATGCTTTTCTTTTAAAATTTCAATGTCTTCACAGTATTTCCTTTCCTTCTCCTGGTTCTGGTTATTTATTGTTTCTATTTCCAGTCTTAGCATAGAGATTTGATCCTCCAACATGTATTTGTTATGCAACAGATATTTTTCTTTTTCACAACTATTAGAAATCTAAGTAAAACAAAGGAGACTTTTAGTTGGAACACAATAAAATGACATTATGATGATTTTTCTCTGAAATTAAAGAATAAACTACGTTTATACAATGACTAGGTCGCAGTAATAGATATTGAACTGGAAAAAAGTAAAGTTGGGTCCAAACCTCAAACTTTATACAAGCATAAATTCCCAAAGCTTCAAAAATTTAATTGAAGACAATGAATGCATGAAAGGAAAAGAGAAAGCAAGACAAAATTTTTAAGAATCTCAGAATTGGAAAGGTCTTTCTCCGATTTATAACAAACCCAGAAAGCCTGAAATAAAAGATTAATAAATCTGACTATACTAAGAATCAAGTTTACAGTCTGACATCTAACACAGGTATGCCATAGTAAAATCCTTAGCTCTGCATATATTTGGGCAGATTAAATTTCCTAAAATTCTTTTTCCGCACAATAGTCCATAGAAATTCTACTTTTCTAACATTTCTATAGTCAGTTATAAGAGTTAAATCTACTGATCACTGACAAATCTAGGCCCTGTACTATAAACACTTCTACATACATCAATGAACTCTTTTAGTTACCACAATTCTAGAATGGAGAGGTTCAAAATATTAAGTGAGCTGCAGAACTTCCCGCAGGTCTTCTAACTCCACTATTAGTGCTTGTGCACCAAACTGGAGCTCTTCTCCAGTGTAAATCATAAAGACAAAAGAAGCCTCATATTTCACACAAAATACCAATGGTAAATAAGGTAAAATTTATACAGCTCTTAGAAAAATCATGAGGGGGGCGCCTGGGTGGCTCAGTGGGTTAAAGCCTCTGCTTTCGGCTCAGGTCATGATCCCAGAGTCCTGGGATCGAGCCCCGCATCGGGCTCTCTGCTCAGCAGGAGGCCTGCTTCTCTTCCTCTCTCTCTCTGTCTGCCTCTCTGCCTACTTGTGATCTCTATCTGTCAAATAAATAAATAAAATCTTTAAAAAAAAAAAAGAAAAATCATGAGGTTATTTGCTGCTGCAATAAATTTTTTTCCTCATCATGATGTTTAAAACGGTAATAAATACAAAATAGGGAAAAAGACACTAAGCTATTTTATTAGGAATAAAATATTCATCAATAAATTATCATTACCATATGATTACTTCAAAGGCAACTTTTAATGAAATAGGATACTCCTTGGAGCAAATTGCTACTTTTCTCAAAAGTAAGAGACTAACATCCAAAATAAAGTCTCTGAACAGGCTATATACATTTCCTCCTGTTCATCAGTGGAAATGTTAAGCTAAACTATTGAGAGAGAGGTGAGGAAATAACTGCGGAAAACTGAAACATATGTTGTTAGTTGCAACAGTTTTGAGCTTATGGTTATGGAAAATAATAAAAGCCTCTCCCTTTGGATGAAGACATTAAGAATGTCACTATTTGATTCTTGCAGACAAATGCATTTAAATTAAGAATATTACTTTATCCACTGGACCCAAAATGGCACTGACCCCTATGCCCCCTAAATATACATATATATGTATATATACATATATATACATATATATATATATATGCTTTAAAAATCCTCTATGCTTTCCATGATCTGTAGTGTTGTTTTTAAAAATATACATATACATATATACATATATATATAGATATATATATACACATGGATAAAATATATATATACAAAGACACAAATATATACATATATATATACACACACACACGGAGGAAAAAATATACACACACAGAGAAAAAATAATAATTTCAGAAAATAAAATATATATATATATATATATATATATATATATATATATACAAAACATATACACATGTACTTCAAAATAACTAAAGAAAATACCCCAGAACTCCTTTTGTTATCCATTTCTATCTCCTTTTGTTTGCAAAGGTGATTGTTTAGAATTCCATCTTGTAATATTCTGGCATCCTGTTCTCGACAAAGTTGTTTCTTAGTATCATTCCATTCTTCCACAACCTAAAGACATATTTTCATTAGGATTTTGGTTGATACCATTAAAAAAAAAGTCAAAAGCTTGAGAGAACTTAAAAAAAAATGTTCAAAAGAAGAAGCCTTTTTAAATATAAGGACTTTTATCCTACACGAGTAACTCAAATTTTAATTTAAATGACAGCTAAATTTGTCATAGAGTAAAAATACAGGTAGATATAGTATGTGAAATAAAATTTCTTTACAAAACATTTAACTAGTTCCATCATAGTCTCAAGGTGATTTAGCCTGTATTTTAATATAAAAAATCCAAAACTGGGGTGCCTGGGTAGCTCAGTTGATTAAGTGTCCTACTCTTGGTTTCAGCTCAGGTCATGATCTCAAGGTTTTAAGATCCAACCCTGAGTCAGGCTCTGCACTCAGAGTCTGCTTGAGATTCTTATCCCTTCCTTTCCCTCCCCTTCTACACATTCCTGTACTCATGCTCTCTCTCTAAAAATAAATAAAATCTTAAAAAAAAAAAAAGCCAACATGCATATTTATCTCAATTTACCCTCCATCCCTTCATTCAGAAAATATACATAGGGCTTATAAGAGAAGCCAAGAATTCTAATAATTTAAAGATTTTAGCTATAAATATCATAGTTCCTATTAGTATAAAACTAATTTTTTATCTATTTTATACCTAAGTAATATACATTAAATCAAAGGGATAGTATAAATAATACTGATGGAAATATGCAACTTTTATCAAAGACTTACCTGACTGAAATCATTTTTTACAGTCTTCAGTTCCATATCTAGTGTTCTAAGATTAAGTTCAAGTTCTTGTTTCATTTCAACTTCTTTATTATATTGCTCTTCTTTTCTTGTTAGTTGCTCCTGAATCTTTTCATATAACATTTCAGCATTTCTCCTTCTTTCTTTTTCTTGTTTTAAAGTAAATCTGCAAATAAATGTGCTTATTTTAAAATCTGTTTTGTAAACAATAAAAAGCTCATGTTATGATCTGGTGCCACATATGCTGGTTTATTATCCAAATGAAATTTCTATGTTCTCAATATTTTTCCTTTCTAGGACTCATGTTTTTAATTTCTCACTTCAATCTCTTCCAAAAGTTATATATATAGTTGAAAAGAAGCAATGAAAAAGCATTATGCTGCGTAGTACTAATATCTCTGGGAGACATCTCTGGAAGATACTGTAGGGAAAGGAATTTTGAAATCATTCAAGAAAGAATGGAAAATTATTGTTTTTTCCACATACTCGTGTTTACTCCTCCATTAGAAGAGATAATTTAGTTACTATTTAAGAAGAGAAGTTCCTGTTTATAAAGAAGTTATAATTCACTACAAGTAAATTGCTACTTCATGAAACATCACAGGTACGGCAGTGTAAGACAGCATCTGCAGATGCATTTATTTAGACAACGTACACCCGCAGATTACTGTGATCCAGGACTAGGCTAGGGAGTCAAATATCTGTTACCCTACGATTTTTATGTTTCTTCTTCTGCAATACCCTCAATTTACCTTGTTGATTATTATTCATTTCATTTTTTAAAAAATTTTATTTATTTATTTGATAGAACACAAAAAGGTGGAGTAGCAGGCAGAGGGAGAGGGAAAAGCAGGCTCCCCGCTGAGCAAGAAGCCCAATGGGGGACTCAGTTCCAGCACCCTGGGATCATGACGTGAGCCAAAGGCAGACACTTAACCAACTGAGCCATCCAGGTGCCCCTGATCCGTTTTCTTTTCTTTAATTAACATATAATGTATTATTTGTTTCCCCTATTATCCATTTAATAAATCATTTGAAAACCCCTTTTATAACAACACAGGATCTATATTAAGTAAATAATAAAGAGTAATATGTGCTTGCAGCATAGACTTTTGAATTAATTTCATCAACATAAAAGAGAGATGCTGAAAAAACTTAGCAGTAATCATTTTCTATTTTACCTTTTAATCACTGCGTGTTTAAAACTAGTTTTTAAAAATTTTTGTCTTGAGAAAAATGGCCATTTTATACTGTTGATGGGCATATAAATTAATATAAAATTCCTTGAGAACAATTTAAAAATAGGATCAAAGACCTTCTTTAAAAATTTTTATACTTTAAGTAAACAATACTACATCAAAGAATTTATTCCAAGTAACCAGAAATGTAGAAACAGATTTATATAAAAGACATTCCTTAAAGCATTAATTAAAGTATAGAAAATGGGGGGAAAAAATCCAAAATTCAATTTGTTAAATAATGAGGTTTCCACATGGTGGATTTCTATATGGTCATTAAAATTATGATTTGGAATATTCATTAAATTATTAAAAGTATTCACTGTTAAGAACTTGCTGTATTATTATGAAGAATCTCATACTTCACTATACTAAAGACGTTTTCTTCCCTATAAAATCTCAGAAGGTAAGTTAGCAATTTCAAAACTTCTATGCATCTGTAGAGAAAAGTAAATAATTCAAGGGGTGCCTGGCTGGCTCAACTGGTACAGCATGCGACTCTTGATCTCACTCTTGAGTTCAATCCCCACATATATTGGGTGTGGAGCCTATTTAAAAAAAAAAAAAAAAAGGTAAATAGTACAAGTATTTCCTTAAAACCAAGATATCATACCTCAAACTGCAGAGTTCTTGCTCCCATTCTATTTTTTGAAGCTCCAACTTCGACATCATTTCTTTTGTTTCTGATAGCTCCTTTTGTAGTCCATTAGCCTTATTTTCCATTTTTTTATTTTTTCTTTTAAGTTGTGCACAGTGATATTTTTTAAGTTCTATTAATCTTTCATATGAAAGAACCGTATCCTGGATTTTCAGTAAACTGACAGAATCTACATCAGAGAAAAAAACAAAAGCAAATAAAATATATAGGGCACCTGGGTGGCTCAGCTGGTTAAGCATCTGACTCTTGGTTTCGGCTCAGGTCATAATCCCAGAGTCGTGGGATCGAACCCTGCATCAGGCTCCACTCAGCATGGAGTCTGCTTGAGATTCTATCCACCCTTCCTCCCTCCCCCTCTGTTCTTTCCCACTCCCTGATCATGCTCTCTCTCCAATAAATTAAATATTTAAAAAAGAAAAAGAAATAAAATATATGAGTACTTTTGGCATATAAAGGACTGTATGCTTTCACATTCACTCATTCATACATTAAACAAATATATATTGAATGATCTCAATATGAAATATATTACTGAGATGCCTGGGTGTCTCAGTTGGTTAAGCATCTGCCTTCAGCTCAGGTCATGATCTCAGGGTCCTGGGATCAAACTCTACATTGGACCCCCTACTCAGTGGAGAGTCTGCTTTACCCCCTGCCTCTGCCCCTCCCCCAGCTTATGCACTCTGTATCTCAAATAAATAAATAAATAAATAAAATTAAACATTTATCTCTCAAATAAAAAAAAACAAAAGATATTACACTAAGCTCTGCAGATCTCTGGCTTTTATTTAGCTTAAAGTCTAGTGAAGGAGAAAACAATTAGAAATTCAGATAGTTCCTATAATAAGAGTTCTATGATCATATAACATAACTTGATCTATGGTAGGGAGGGAAGATTTCCCTGAGGAAGAGATGACTATTCTGAGAAATGAAGGAGGAGCAGGCAGCACGTGAGCAAAGGAGGAAGGAGAGTATTAAAGACGGTCTATAGCATGTGCCAAAGTTCTATTGCAATCTGCTTCTGGCCAAGACAGAGTAACAGGAACTGATTTATCTTCCTACCTGAAAAAAGCCAAACAAAAAACAGGTAAAATACACTTTAAAATCATTTTCAAGAAAAAAGAATTCAGGCAATGAAGGACAATGATCCCTGAAAACACAAGAAGTTAGCCTAACACATACCTGAGCTCACTGCCTTGGGACAATTTCCAGGCCATGACACAGGTGAAAAAATGGAGATAGACTCCACCAGACTCCCTGAGTTGAGGTGATGAAACGGAGTCTGGTGAAACCAAGACAGATGAGATCAGAGGTCAAAGCACTGGCGAGGAGAAAGCAGAACAAAGAACGAACCCCGGAGATCAGAAGAGTAATAACCAATGCATGCCCGTAAGGAAATCTCCTGTGACCAGGGGAAAGATCCATCCGGAAAGAACAGAGGACACTCTGCCTGGAGCTCACATGGCACCAGGGGCAGTATCTATCCCCATTAGCCATGCTGGAAACACTCATAACCCGCAGCACAATGAATACAGTAAGTAGGTCGTGCCTCAGCAGTGGGGAATTATAAGCTCTAGGCTGAACACTACTCTGGATTCACCTAACAATTCATAAGAGCAGGACGGGAAAGGATCAAACTGTTTGTCATTAACTTAGCTAGAATTCCAAAGAAAGCATAAAAAGGTAAGTGGAGGCATAGAAGCTAATTTTAAAAAAACCAAATAGCACTTACAGAGATGTAAATTATGTCAGACATGAAAAACACACTGGATTGGAATAAACACATATTAGATAGCACAAAATAAGAGACTGAAATTTGACATCAGAAAACTATGAGAAAACTTCATGTAGCTAATATACAATTCCCCAAAGAGGCAGAGGAAAGGAACTAGAAAAAATATTCGAAGAAAAAATGACAGGGGCACCTGAATGGATTCGTCAGTGGGTGTCTGCCTTGAGCTCAGGTCATGATCTCATGATCTCAGGGTCCTAGGATCAAGCCTGGTGTTGGACTCCCCCATTAGAGGGGAGTCTGCTTCTCCCTCTCCTTCTGCCCCTCCCCCCTGGCTTGTGCACTCTCTCTCTCTCTCCTTCTCTCTCTCAAATAAACGAATAAAATCTTTAAAAAAAGAAAAGAAAAAATGGCCAAAACCTTTCTAAACTTAATGAAAACTATAAACCCACAGATCCAGAAGGATCTGGCTAGGAGTGAAGAAAAGGAAGTAAACCTTTATAATTTTTTTTTTAAAGATTTTATTTATTTATTTGACAGACAGAGATCACAAGTAGGCAGAGAAGCAGGCAGAGAGAGAGGAAGGGAAGCAGGCCCCCTGCTGAGCAGAGAGCCCGATGCGGGACTCGATCCCAGGACCCTGAAATCATGACCTGAGCCGAAGGCAGCGGCTTAACCCACTGAGCCACCCAGGCGCCCCAAAACTTTATAATTTTCTAAAATGACATATGACGTGTTATAACATTACTAGATGGAGGACTATGATGCTTAAGTCATATACTTTAGGGTCTAACCAAAATAGCAAAACTAAAGAGTTATAGCTAGTAAGCAAAATACATACATACACATACACACATAAATAAAACTAAATCATAAAAATTACTTGATTAATCCAAAAGAAATCAGAAAAAGAAGAGAATGGAATGAAGAGCAGAAAGGACAAATTGAAGTCAAACAACATGATGACAGATTCAAATCAACTACATCAATAATCACATTAAATGAAAATGGTCTAAAAGCCTCAATGAAAAGGCAGACTGTCAAAATGGATAAAAAAGAAAGACCCAGCTATCTGCCACCTATAAAAAATGCACGTTAATTGTAAAAACTACAAATGTGTTAAGAGGTCAGAAATGTGATAGACCACACTAACACCTGGCAAAAGAAGGTTGAGCCTGAGCGGTTACATTAATACCAGACAAAATAGATTTCAAAACAAAAAACATTAGCAGCAATAAATAAGTTCATTTAATAATGATAAAAGGGTCAACCAAAGGAAGCATAATAAACCTAAATGTTTATGCATCTATTAATAGGTTCAAAATACATAAAGTAAAAATTGACAGAACTTCAGAGGAACAAACAAATTCACAATTACAGTCTGAGATTTCAGTAGGCAGAAAATCAGCAAGGACATAGTAGACTTGAATGCCACTGCTCTTCTCAAGCATCCATGGAACACTTACCGAAAGAGATGATATTCTGGGTCATAAAATAAATGATAATAAAAGGAGTAAGTCAAAAGAACTGAAGTCGTAAGAGTGTGTTTTGTGACCACAAAGAAATCAAATTAGAAATCAAGAATGAAAATATCTCTGGAGAATACTCAAATATTTGCAAACTAATTAACACACATCTAAATAAACCCTGGGTCAGGGAACCTGGGTGGCTCAGTCGGTTATGTGTCTGCCTTCGGCTCAGGTCATGATCTCAGGGTCCTGGGATCAAGCCCCACACTGGGTTCCCTGCTTAGAGGGGAGTCTGCTTCACCCCAGCTCATGCTCGTGCTCTCTCCCTCTCGCCCCCTCTCTCTCAAATAAATAAAATCTTTAAGTAACCCCTGGGTCAAAGAAGTAAAGAAAAAAGAAATTAGAAAATATTCTGAACTGAATGGAAATGAACATATAACACATAAGAATTGCTGGAATGCTGCAGTAGCAGCACTCACATGAACATTTATAGCACTGAATGTATGTACTAAAAAAGAAGAAAAGCCTCAAACTGATGACCTTTGGCTCCACCTTAAGAAATCAGTAAAATAGTAGTTAAAAAAAGTTTGATAAACTTTGGTTATGTAGAAAAATTTGATAGAATGTTTTAAAAAGCTACTAAAACTAATAAGTAAACTTACCAACTTCAAGAATAAACCTGGACCCATACCCTGTAACATAAATTTAAAAAGAATTCAAAATGGGGACGCTTGCATGGCTGTCAGTTAAGTGGCTGTCTTTGGCTGAGGTCATGACGGGTCCTGGGATCGAGCCCCATGTCCAGCTCTCTGCTCAGCAGGGAGCCTGGTTCTCCCTCTCCCTCAGCCTGCCATTCCCCCTGCTCATGCTCTCTCTGTCAAATAAATAAATTAAACAAATCTTAAAAAAAAAAAATGAATACAAACTGGATCTCACGGATCACAGATCTAAATGTAAGACCTAAAACTATAAAACTTTGTTATTCAACTGCAAAACTTCTAAAAGAAAGCATGAGAGAAAACCTCTGACCTTGTGCTAGGCAAAGATTTCTCAGATAGGAACACCAAAAACAAAAATCCATAAAAGAAAAAAGGTATAAACTGGACTTCATCAAAAAGAAAAACTGCTCTTCAAAAGATACTGCTGAGAGAATGAAAAGTCACAGACTGGGAGAAAATCTTTGGAAAAAAAAAAAAAACACAACAGGTGATAAAGGAACTCCATCTAGAATATACAAAGAATTCTCAAAACTCAACAGGTAAGAAAACCTAATTTTTAAAATGACAAAGGATTTGGACAGTTCAAAGAAGATATACAGATGGCAAATAAGCCCACAAAGATATGCTCAACATCATAAGTTATTAGCAAAATGTATATTAAAACCATAATGATACATATACTACAGACCCATCGGAACATCTAAGATTTAAAAAACTGACAATACTAAGTGTTCATGAATATATAGGGAGAAATCGGAACTCTCAGACATTGCTGGTGGGAATTGAAAATGGTGCAACTACTTTAGAAAACCATTCGGCAGTTTCGTAATGAGGGAATACAAAGAGACACGAGACTTAAGGGTTATTACCTGCCTGAATTACAGTTATGGTTTCATATGTATATACATATGTCAAAACTATCAAATTATACACTTCATACATGTGCAGTTGTCCTAACTTAAGCTGTTGAGGGGAAAAAGGCTCTATTATAAGAAAAAATATCTAAAACAGTGGCTGAGATACGGACAGAAGGATATGAAACAACCCAAGATGAAGCTGAGAACTGTGGTCTTTCACCCCAGAATGATGAGAAGTAATAGCTAAGCTTTAAGCAAGGGGGTCACGTGATGAAATATAAATGTTTAAAAATATATGGTAACTATGGTGGCAGTGTAGACCAAGATTCTGGGGGGTGGAATGACAGGGAAAACAGTCCTGAGGTTGTTTCAGTATTCTAGGACAAATACAGTGGTAACCTGACCTTGGGTGAAGGCACAGAAGAGGAGAGTTAACACACATCAGGTGTGCCATTCCCATGACGAAAAGTATAGTGGAAATTACAGCTCTTTGGCTAAGAGTATTCAACATTTCTCTACTTTCATATAAAACGTATTTCTGAGATGAGTAGCTCTATAACACATCAGTGTTGTATGGTACAGCACTAGACAAGAAGTGCACATATTACTACAGTAATGTATATACAAAGGCTTCATATTTACACAATGGTCTTACCTTTACAATCCATGCCATGTTGTTCAATTAGCGACATGCATGTCATATAATTACAGCAAGGCACGTGGAAACCCTCCGAAATTGTTTCAGATGACGGAGTTAAGTCATCAAGGTCATCCATAGAATGAATTTGCTTTTTGACCTACAAATAAATAATACTACTTCAAAATGTCCCCTAAATATTGATAAAATATACTAAGTGGAGAGAGATGATAAATACCTGTATCTTTTTATAAGAGCAAAAAAAAGGTACTTTCAAAAGGACTGATTTTTATCAAAATGACCTTTATAAATAACTAGTGTTTCTGAACAACTTTTTCAAAGTAAATGTCTGTACAACAAAGGCAGATGTTCTCTTTTTTCATTATACCTTTCCTAAAGTAATTTTTTACCATGGAATAATATTTCTGATAAACATGATTTGTGGTGCAAAAACAATGAATACTGTTACGCTGAAAAGAAATAAAAATGGGGCGCCTGGGTAGCTCAGTGGGTTAAAGCCTCTGCCTTTGGCTCACGTCATGATCTCAGGGTCCTGGGATCGAGCCCCACATCGGGCTCTCTGCTCAGCGGGAAGCCTGCTTCTGCCGGCCTCTCCTTCTGCCTGACTCTCTGCCTACTTGTGATCTGTCAAATAAATAAATAAAATCTTTAAAAAAAAAAATAAATAAAAATAAATAAATAAAAGAATTACCTACTGATGCTTAAAAAACCATAATAAAATAAAAAGTTAAAAATTGATAAATGAAATAAAATTATGTGTGTGTATATTATATATATATACATATATATGTGTATATATATATATATATAAATTTTTTTTTTTGTTACCTCTTCCTCTTCACTAGATGTTTTCTTTGCAGGTCTAAAAAAAAAAAAACCAATTCTTTTCAGGCAAATATTAAATACTTAAAATACAAAGAATATCTAAATCATATCTATATTATTAATAATCTTAACAAAGCATTAAATTTAGATCAAACTGACAAAAAGCAAAGGAAAATCATATTGTTACTTGCATTATTTGATATGAAGAAATATACCACATTTTTTGTTGTCATTTTCAATAAAAACAAGCTTTTACTGGTTCTAAAAACTATTTGGAAAGTGCAAGTTAAGTTCTTATATGAAAGAAATCCTTTTTTAATAATCATGATATTAGGGTTCTGAGGATCTACTGTGTAAATACTATGCATTATTATGAAAACTTTAAATGTTTTAAAGGTATTTTAAGCCTCACAACAATCTTATAAACATAGGTAATTATATTAGGTATTTTACACAGGAAGAAAATGAGGCACAGAAAAAAGTAACTTCCCAAAGCTGGTGCAGGTGGTCAGGAGGAGACCCAGAATTCAAATCCAGGAAATGTGCCTTCAAAACATGTGTTTTATAGTATGTGATGAAAGTAATATTTAAGTGTTTTTTAAGTATCTGATAGCAAATGAATCTATTAGTATTCCATTTTAGCTATAATTGTAGATAATAATTCAAGAATGTTAACCATATTTTTTTAAATAAAAAGACTTCATACATAGACAATATTGATAATCTACTTTCAAACAACTAAAGATTTGCTTCTTCTAAAGAAGTTGATCAATGGGCATTCATATATTCATTCAACTGTTTATTCACGAACATACACTTAGTGAGCACACTATATATGTGTCAACGACACTGTTGGCACAGGAATCATGGCTTTTGTAATTTAGAACTTTATAAAACAAAAGTAATAATCTATGACAGATTAATAGTTTATTTTTCAATTATAAATAAAATCTTTCCTCTTCCCCCAGAATCTAAACAAATATTAAGTTAATATAAGCAGACACTTCAAAGTCCCTAATAAAACTATAGCTATTCATGATACTGTCAAAGGCACTGAATATCTAAAATTATCAAGGAATGGGGGCGCCTGGGTGGCTCAGTGGGTTAAAGCCTCTGCTTTCAGCTCAGGTCATGATCCCAGGGTCCTGGGATCGAGCCCCGCATCGGGCTCTCTGCTCAGCAGGGAGCCTGCTTCCCCTCCTCTCTCTCTGTCTGCCTACTTGTGATCTCCATCCTTCAAATAAATAAATAAAACCTTAAAAAAAATTCTCTAAGGAGTTCTTTATACTTATTCATTAGATTCCAGCATCCACGGTGACTGTTGAAACTGCTCCTTGTCAAAGTCTCTTGTCCTCATCTTAACCTTTCAAGCAGTGTGTCTGATATACTTGAGTATTTCTTTTCTTCGCCTGTACTTACACTACAGCATTTTATTTCCATAAAAAGTAATCACTGTTAAAATTCCTTCAGAGGGAAATAAAGAATTTGTAGATTTTACCTTCCTTCATCCTGATCCATTCCACTTGAAGTGCTGTCATCATTCATTTGTAGTGGACGAGAAGTTAGAGAAGGGGCTTTCTCAAACCTTGGTGTAATCACAGATTCTTTTGATGTTTGTTTTTCTTTTTCCCCTTTCCTTAATTCCTTTGTATCCAAAGCAGGATCACTATTTTTTAAAAATCCAGTTAAAATATCCATTAAAAAGCCAACGTTTTCGGGTACCTGGGTGGCTCAGTTGGTTAAGCCACTGCCTTTGGCTCAGGTCATGACCCCTAGTCCCAAGATCAAGTCCCATATCAATCTCCCAGCTCCACGGGGAGTCTGCTTCTCCCTCTGACCTTTCCCCCTCTCCTGCTCTCTCTTTCTCTCTCTCTCTCTCTCTCTCTCTCAAATAAATAGTCAACCATTCTCTTGTACCATATACAAAGATAAGCTCAAAATGGATAAAAGACCTGAATGTGAGGCAGGAATCTATCAAAATCCTAGAGGAGAACATAGGCAGTAACCTCTTCGACATTGGCCACAGCAACTTCTTTCAAGACAGGTCTCCAAAGGCAAAGGAAACAAAAGCAAAAATGAACTTCATCATTTCACCAAAAATGGGACTTCATCAAGATCAAAACTTCTGCAAAGGAAACAGTCAACAAAACAAAGAGCCAACCCACGGATTGGGAGAAGATATTCACAAATGACACTACAGACAAAGGGCTGATTTCCAAGATCTATAAAGAACTCCTCAAACTTAACACACAAAACAGATAATCACATCAAAAAATGGGCAGAAGACATGAACAGACACTTCTCCAAAGAAGACATACAAATGGCTAACAGACACATGAAAAATGTTCATCATCACAAGTCATCAGGGAGATTCAAGCCAAAACCACATTGAGATACCACCTTATACCAGTTAAAAGGGCCAAAATCAACAAGACAATAAACAATAAGTGTTGGAGAGGATGTGGAGAAAGGGGAACCCTGTTACACTGTTGGTGGGAATGCAAGTTGGTGCAGGCAATTTGGAGAACAGTGTGGAGATTCCTTAAGAAATTAAAACTAGAGCTTCCCTATGACCCTACAATTGCACTACTGGGTATTTACCACAAAGATACAGATGTAGTGAAAAGAAGGGCCATCTGTACTCCAATGTTCATAGCAGCAATGGCCACAATTGCCAAACTGTGGAAAGAGCCAAGATGCCCTTCAACAGACAAATGGATAAAGAAAATATGGTCCATATATACAATGGAATTTTACGCCTCCATCAAAAAGGGTGAATACCCAATGTTTGTATCAACATGGACAGGACTGGAGGAGATTATGCTGAGTGAAATAAGTCCAGCAGAGAGGGTCAATTATCATGGTTTCACTTACTTGTGGAGCATAAGGAATAACATGGAGGACACTGGGAGATGGAGAGGAAAAATGAGTTGGAGGAAATCGGAGGGGGGACAAACCATGAGAGCAGTGGATTCTGAGAAACAAACTGAAGATTTTGGAGGGGTGGGGGTGGGTTGTTGGTTGAGCCTGGTGGTGGGTATTAAGGAGAGCACGTATTGCATGGAGCATTGGGTGTGGTCCATAAACAATGAATCTTGGAGCACTGGGAAAAAATTAAATTTTAAAAAATCTTCTTAAAAATTTAAAAAAATTTTTAAAAAGCCAATGTTTTCTAATAATTTTACTGGTAAAGAATAAAAAAAATAATTTTTTGTAAAATTCTGCTACTCATCTCAATTCACTTATTAGTTCACAGAACAGTTATCAAGTCCAACCATATATAAGAAAATACATATCCCTTGCTTCAAAGTCAGATAAATATACAATTACAATACAATGTCTTTGTGGTGACAAAATGGCTGTGGACCTCTTTGTAGGAGCTGTGGAACCAAGCACCATAAACAAGGGACCTAGGAAAACTCTTGTCTACCCATGCATCAGATAACAGGCACACTCACTACAGTCCCAGCTATGGACTCAGCAATAGCCCATACACTGGCTCCAGCCCCTTCCTCTCAACCACATCTAGGAGCCCCTGGACGACACTGTCTTAGATAATCACCCATTGAAGAGAGAGCCTTTTTGGAAAACCAGATTTCCTACAGTAAAGTTCCAGCACACCACCAGAACAAAAAAAAACAAACAAAAACCAAAAACTAAAAAAAATCGGGTTTGGACACACTGAAAAGGTAATCATTAAAGACTACTTCAAATGCAAAGACAGCAATGCAAAACTTCAAAGAATATAAAAAGTCAAGGAAATATGATACCATGAAATGATCACAATAATCTTCCAATAATTGATCTCAAACACATGAAGATCAATAGTTTATCCAAAAAAGAGTTCAAAATAGCAGTTTTAAGGAAACTCAGTGAGCTACAAGAAAACACAAAAAGCCAATTCAGGGGTGCCTGGGTGGCTCAGTCTGTTAAGCCCTAACCTTTGATTTTGTTTCAGGTCATGATCGCAAGGTCATGAGATCCACCCCTGCATCGGGCTTATGCTCAGTGCAGAGTCTGCATGTCCCTCTCCCTCTGCTACTCGTCCGGCTCACACACATGCTCTCTCTAAAATAAATAAACAAACAAACAAATAAAATCTTTCAAAAAAAAAAAAAAAGCCAGTTCAATAAAATGAGAAAAATACTAGATGAACAAAATGAGAAGTTTAATAAAGAGTTGGAAGGGCACCTGGGTGGCTCAGTCAGTTAAGTGTCTGACTCTTGGTTTTAGCTCAGGTCATGACCTCAGGGTTGTGGGATTGAGCCCCAGGTTTGCTTGACATTCTCTCTCCCTCTCTTTGTCTCTCCCCCAACCTGATCTCTTTCGCTTTCTCTCTCAAATGAATAAATAAAATATGTATTTTTTAAAAGAGCTGGAAATAGTTAAAAAAGAACTAAAAAATTCTGGAGCTGAATAATACAGTGAATGAAATGAAAAAAAGCAATAGAAATCACTGACAAGGGGTGCCTGGGTGGCTCAGTTGGTTAAGTGTCTGCCTTCAGCTCCCGTCATGATTTCAGGGTCCTTGGATCCAGCCCGGCATCAGGCTCCCTGCTTCCCCCTCACTCTCTGCCTGCCTCTCTGCCTACTTGTGATCCTTCTCTCTGTGTCAAACAAATAAAAATAAAATCTTTTAAAAAAGAGAGAGAAAAGAAAAGAAATCATTGAGATGAAAATGCACCCAAAAAAACTACTGTGAATTTAAAGTTTTTAAATTTTAAAACTTTCAAATTATCCAATCAGTGGAGAACAAAGAAAAAAGAAAGAAAAAGAGTGAGAAAACCCTATGTGATTACGGAATATCACTAAAAGAAACAACGTGTAAATTACTGCAGTTCTGGAAGGAGGAGAGAGGGAGAAAAAGACATAAGGCTTAAAGAAGTCATGGGCGAGAACTCTCAAACTTGGAAAAACATTTGGAATCCAAGTTTATGAAGCTCAGTCATCAAACAAATTCAACTTAAAGAGATTTTCTCCAAAACACATTATAATAAAACTGTTGAAAATAAAAATCAAAGAGAGAATCATAAAAGCAGCAAGAGAAAAGAAGCCTGTCACCTACAAGTGAACCCTCATAAGGCTATTAGCAATTTCTTAGCAGAAACCTTACATGCCAGGAGAAGAATGGGATTGTATATTCAAAATGCTGAGAGAGGGGTGTCTGGGTGGCTCAGTGGGCTGGGCCTCTGCCTTCAGCTCAGGTCATGATCTTAGGGTCCTGGGATTGAGCCCCACATCAGGCTCTCTGCTCAGTGAGGAGCCTCTTTCCCCCTCTCTCTAGGCCTGCTGTTCTGCCTACTTGTGATCTCTTTCTCTTTGTCAAATAAATAAATCAAATCTTTAAAAAAAAATGCTGAGAGAAAAGAACTGCCAACCAAGAATACCTTACTGAGCAAAATTATCCTACAGAAATCAAATCAAATCAGTAAGTTTGATACACATTAACAGAATGAAAAAAAATTATATGATCATCTCAATATATGCAGAAAAAACATTTGACAAAATTCAACATCTTTTCATGATAAACACTCTCAATAAAGTGGGTACCAAATTATCATACCTGAACATAATTAAGGCCACATACGAAAAACCCACAGCTAACATCATACTCAGTGGCAAAACACTGAAAGTTTTTCCTCTAAGTTCAAGAATAAGACAAAGGCACCCACCTTACCACTCGTATTCAACATCAGACTAGATAAAGAAATGAAAGGCATCCAGATCAGAAAAGAAGAAATCAAACTGTCTTTGTCTGCAGAGGATATGATCTTACATATAGAAAAACCTGAAGACACCACCAAAAAGCTGTTAGAACTAGCAAAGATGAAGCATACAAAATCCACATACACAAATCCGTTACATTTCTATACATTAACCAAAAAAACCTGAAAAAGAAATTTTAAAATACCATTCACAAAAGCATCAAAAAGAACAAAATACTTAGGAATAAATTTAACCAATGAGGTGAAAGATATGTACACTAAAAACTATGAGACTTTGATCAAAGAAACACCAGACACACAAATAGGAAGATATCTCATTATTTGTGGCTTAGAAAAACAACACTAAATATCTCATGACTCAAAGCCATCTGTAGATTCAATGCAATCCCTGTCAAAATTCCATTGACATTTTTCAGAGAAATAGGAAAAAGGATCCTTAAATTTACATGGAACAAAAAACACCCCAAATAAGCAAATCAATCCTGGGAAAGAACAAAGCTGGAGCATCACACTTCCTGTTTTCAAACTTTTACAAAGGTATAGTAATCAAAATAGGATGACTGTTCATAAAAAAAAACCACACACACACACAAAACCCAAAGAAACAGAATCAAGAACCGGACAATAAACCCATGGATCTAGTCAACTAAAATTTGATGAGGGAGCTGAGCACACTCAAGGAAGAATAGATAATCTCTTCAATAAATGATCCTGAGAAAACTGGATATTCACATGCAGAGAATGAAAACGGACCCCTAACTTACACCACTCACAAAAATTAACCAAAACTGGGTTAAAGACTTAAATATATAACCTTAAACCATAAAACTACTACAAGAAAACAGGGGGAAATCTCCCTGACATTGATGTTGGCAATGATTTTGGATGTGACATCAAAAGTACAGGCAACAAAAGCAAAAACAGTGGAACAAGCAACGTTTCTGCACGGCAAAAGAAGCGAGCAACACTCTAGTTCCATTTACGTTGTATATATAGGGGAAGGAAAGGAAAAAATAAGATAAAAACAGAGATGGAAGCAAACCGTAAGGAACTCTTAACTAGAGGAAAGAAACAGGGTTGCTGGAGGGGAGGTGGGCGGGAAGATGGTCTAACTGTGTGGTGGGCATTAGGGAGGGCACTTGTGATGAGCACTGGGTGTTACATGCAAGTGATGAATCACTAAAGTCTACCCCTGAAACTAATAATACAATATATGTTAACTAAGTTGAATTTAAATAAAAATCTAAAAAACAAAGCAGAAACAAGTAACATAATGAAAAAGCAACCTACAGAATGGATGAAAATATGTGTAAACCACACTATCTGAAAAAAGGTTAATATGTAAAGTGTATAAGAAATTCATACAATTCAACAGCAAAAAAAACCAATTCAATTAAAAACTGGGCAAGGCATCTTAATAGACAGCTTTCCTCAGAAGATGTTAAAATGGCCAAAAGGACCAAAAAATGGGCTCAACATCACTATTCATCAGGGAAATGCATATCAAAACCATAATGATATATCTATCACCTCACACCTGTTAAAATGGCTTACATCAAAAAGGGAAGAGATACCACTGGCAAAGATGTACAGAAAAGGGAATCCTTACACACTGTTACAGGACTGTAAACTGGTACAGCCACTATGCAAAACAGTGTGGAGGTTCCTCAAAAACCTAAAAATATAACTATCAGAATATCCAGTAATCCCATTTCTGGGAACATTCTGACAGAAATGAATCAGTAACTCAAAGAGGTATCTGTGCCTCTACATTTACTGCAGCATTATTTACAACAGCCAAGACACGGAAACAACCTATGTGTCCATCAGTGGATCCATTGATTTAAAAATGTGGTATATATTTACAATGGAATATTTTTAGCCACACAAAAAAAGAGGGAAACCCTGCCATCTGCGACAACATGAATGAACCTTGAGGGAATTAAGCTAAGTGAAGGAAGTCACGCAAAAAGATAAATACTCTATGATCTGACTTACACGTGGAATATTTAAAAAAACACATTTATAGATTTGTGGTTGCCAGGGGTAGGAAGCTGAGGGAAATGGGTAGATATTGGCTAAAGGGTACAAACTCTCTGTTACAAGATTAGTAAGATCTGAGGATCTAATGTACAGAATGGTGATTACAGTTAATAATACTGTTATATATTTGAAAGTTGCTAAAAGAGATGCTAAAAAAGAAATGATAATTATGTGAGGTGATAGAGTTATTAACACTATTATCATTTTACAATATAAAAGTGTATTAAAGTAATACAGGTATACCTTTCACTTACACAGTTATCTGTCAATTATACCTCAAAAAATCTGGACAAAATTCAACAATACTCACATGTCAAAAATAGCAGTAATGTGATTAATTTTGTTTGAAAATAAAATTATTTGGGGGTGCCTGGGTGGCTCAGTCGGATAAGATCTGCTTTCAGCTCAGGTCATCTCCAGGTCCTGGGATCGAACCCCAAATCAGGCTCCCCACTGAGCTTCTCCCTCTCCCTTTGCCCCTCCCTCCTGCTCATACTCTCTCTCTCACAAATAATTTCTTCTTAATTTTCTTAAAGAAAATGATTTGGTAACTTTTGTATACTTTTAGCTTATGATTTAGTCCTAATATAAAAAGCTAGAGTTACTAATACAAAATTATAATTACTTTTTCATGGACTAATTGCATGCAAGAGAATATTATTAGCATATAGCTACATAAACTTACAAAAAGACTAAATTTCCCACAAGAGATTATTAATTTAGGAATTGAACATGAGCCCCTAAGAGCACGGAAAACAAAAACAAAGCTAGCAATTGTTTTAAAACTGTTAAACAGATAACTATTTTAGTTAAAATTTAACATCCAAAAAAGAAGGATCTTCCTGAAAGCAATTATTAAACAATCTTTCCGGCCTAAATTTCAAATATAAATCTATAATTACAGAATATGAAATAGCTTTCATTTTGAATACAGTTGATAGAAGCAACTTTTAAATCGAAAAAACCTAGTTAAAGTCACCTCAAACTTAGGGTGGAGGGAACCCAAATATGAAGCCATAGTAACAAGAAGCCACCATATGCAGTTTTAAATGTTTTAAATGTAATTGATCGAGGCCTACTGGCCTCACTCACCAATCAGGCAATGTCAGCTCCTCCTTTCTAAAAGAAAGCCAGTATGGAACAAAAGCACTCCAATACACATGCCTCGAGTGCCAACCAACCAACCAACCAACCACCATCTCACCCAAATTACCATGGTGTTGCAGATGAGGACAAACCACTTAATTCTCTGAAAGTCCCCCAAACCTTAAACTCTACTCTTCCCAAAACCCTATATAAGAATAGCAGACTGCTCTGTCAAAAAAGACTTGACCAGCATAGTTCCCTCTTCCTAGTGGGCAATAAATTCCAGCTTCATCTTTTTAGTTTACATATGGAGGGCTCATAATCCTTTCGCAAGAATTGTTAAAGTCCTATAATAATTTACCATCATAGGCCGCGGGCCGCCGCCTCCACCCCGGCTGTGGCCCCTGCCGGTTACATAACTCGTTTCGGGCTCCGCGCGGCCCCACTTCTCGGCAGCCCGCGACCCCAGGATGCTTTGAGCCCCACGACAGCGTCCGCTGCCGCCAGCTCCCGTCCGAGGTGTCAATGACAGAGGTGGTGCCGTCCAGCGCCCTCAGCAAGGTCAGCCTACGCCTCCTCTGCCACGATGACATAGACACCGGGAAGCATCTGTGTGGCGACTGGTTCCCCATCGAGTACCCAGACTCACAGTATCGTGATATCACCTCCAACAAGAAGTTCTTTTCCCTTGCCGCAACCTACAGGGGCGCCATCGTGGGAATGAGAGTAGCCGAAATAAAAAGTAGGAGCAAGATACACAAGGAGGATGGAGATATTCTAGCCTCCAACTTCTCTGTCGACAGGCAGGTTGCGTACATTCTAAGTCTGGGAGTAGTGAAGGAGTTCAGGAAGCACCGCACAGGTTCCCTTTTTCTTGAGAGTTTGAAGGATCACATATCAACCACCGCCCAAGACCACGGCAGAGCCATCTACCTGCATGCCCTCACCACCAACAACACAGCAATCAACTTCTATGAAAACAGAGACTTTAAGCAACATCACTATCTCCCCTATTACTACTCCATCCGAGGGGTCCTCAAAAATGGCTTCACCTATGTGCCCTACATCAACGGCAGCCACCCTCCCTGGACATCCCGGACCTGGGCTCCGCGCTAGCGAACCTGAGCCCTTGCTCCCTCCCGCACAGGATCTACCTTCAGGCCCACAGCCTGCTCTGCAGCTTCCTGCCGTGGTCTGGCATCTCCAGCAAGGGGGGCATTGCCTACGGCCGGACCATGTGATGCCAGCTGGGCGGCCGCTAGCAGGCCCCGCCCTTCAGCACCCCGCAGAACTCGCCTTCCTGGCTGTTGGAATTCTGTCGTCTGCAGCGAAGCCGATGACCCCTTGCCGGCCGGTTGGCCTGCCCCAGCTGCAGGCCCGGTGCTACGCAGGCTCAGAGCAGAGCGTCGCGGGCACACGTGGTCTCTGACAGGAATGCATTCACAGGGTTCAACAATGGAGAAGGCACCAAAAGATCAAGCTCCTCCTCCAGCCGGCCCCAACCCCTCAGATGCCCTCCTTCCGCATGGTGGCCCAGCGCCCAGGTCTGTTTTGGCAGCAGCTGCTTGGGGCAGGGGCCTGGTAAGCCAGAGCTCTGCTCAGATGCGCCCACTTCTGAGGTCATGAGTGCCACAGAGAGCTATCTCTCAGACCTCTGAGCCACGAGGGGTCACACGGACTGCCAGGCCCACACCCTGGGGAACGGACACAGCCCAGAGCACTTGGGTGCTGGAGGACTCACGCGGCGGCACTGCACGACCACCTGGGCTGGATTCCCCCCATCTGTGCCTTGATTTGTGTGCAGACTGGGAGGGACTCCGGGCCTGGAGGGCTCGTGCTCCAGGCTAGAGCAGGACATCTCTCTGGGGGCCTTCACCCCTGCTCCCCTCTTCTTTCCCACAGGCTCTTCCAGCCCTCTTTCCTTTTCTGGTAACCTCTGGAAACCACCGCCTCTGCCTGCGTGCGCCCTGGTCCCGCCTTCACGTGCGTGCGCCAGCTGGCCGGCTGGGGTGTGGCGGCATTCACTGTGGTCTGTTTCCTCCTCTGACCCCTTCCCCTCCACTGCCGGTTCCTTCTAGCTCCTTCCTCCAAAGACGGAATGAACTTTTATTGGAAGGGAGGAACCCAGGTGTTATGGACAGACCTCACCCTAAAGACAGGGGAGCCTCAGAACAACAAGGGGGTGAAAGGGAATGCCAGATCCTTGTCCGAAACCTGCCGGCAGAAGCCTGGGGTGTGGAGAGCAGCCCCTGCCTCTCTGTGAGGGGCTGTCGCTTGGTGGGCAGAGCCCAGAGGCTTTTCACCCAAGCACAGAGCTCAGGGGCTTAGACCCTGACTCGGGAGGTCAAGTTCTCCGGTGCCCTCCTGCTGAGGACTTTGCGCTGTCTTGGAGAGCTTGGATCTGCCTATTAGATGGCAGGTGTTGGCTCACCTGAGCTGCCTCCAGAGTTGGGCTGAGGACAGGGGCAGTGAGGTTCCCGGGGGTCCCCTTCCCAGCCCCCAAGTCCGTGAGCTACAGCTCCCAAGATGCAGACAGGAGGAAGTCGAGTGCTCTCAATGGAATGGGGCCTGGCCTTTGGGGCTGGGGGCTGTCAGGTGACTTGTGGCCCCTCAGTCCCCAGCAGCAGAGACAGGAGAGGCTGTCAGAGCCAGGAAGTGTGCGTGCGAACATCACTGGCTTCTGGTGTCACCCTTACCCCCACCCCCACCGCTGCTTGCCACCTGCCCTGCCCTCCGCAGTAGAGGGGGGTGGCAGTCATGCCCAGTGTTGCTGCAGTGTCATGGAGCCATGGCCGTGGTGTGCAGGCCTTAGGGCAGGAGAAGGGGGAGCAACCAGGCACGGGGCCGAGGGCCCAGTGACTGCCATGCTCCCCTCCCCCAGAACTGCCCAGCCTGGGGCTGCCTCCACTCTTGGGGTGGGAGAAAGGTGTTCTCAAGAGGAGCTCGAGCCCTGGGCCAGAGAAGCACTTTTCCTCCTCCGATCACCTCCTGACTGGCAGTGCCCCCCTCAGGGACAAGTCCCCAGTTCGCTGACCTGTCCTCACCTCTGCACTGACCTTGGTGATATGCTGAGGCCCAGCTTGGTGTTCTCTCTCATCTGAATCAACGGGGACATGTGATTTTTATTTCTGCCCTGAGGGGTCAGGAAGAGTCTTCTGGAAGGTTTTGCCTTGGACATTCATAATCGAGCTCAGAGGCCTTGCCCTGCCCCTCCCTCCCTGCCCCCAATTACTGCAGTGTCCAGCCCAGTATTGAACAGATTGTAGTGTTTTGTCTTATTACAAATAAACAGAATTTAATTGGTTAAAAAAAATTACCATCATATTTCATTTTCCTTAATAAAATATAAATGAAGTTTGTGATTCCTTTGATCCATTTTACTATAATTAAAACTAATATAAATACCAGTAAAAGAATAAGTAGCAAGTAACCACAATATTGGGCCCCCAAAAAATTAAAAAAAAAATGCATACAACTGACAGGTTAAATTGTCAGAAGGGACCCATGTCAAACTTTCCTTTTGTTTAAGTGAGAATTAGTATTATGTTAAAAACAATATATGCAGGTTAAACCCTATTCACTCAATAAACATTTATTGAATAGAACTATATATGCTAGAACGTTTTCTAGGCACTGAGAACATAGCAATGAACAGATAAAAATCCTACTCATGAGTGAAGTAAACACAATAAACAATAAACTACACAGGCAAAATAGCCAGTAGTAGAGGAGAAAAACTAAAGCAGAGAAATCAAATTTTGATGTGCTATAGGATAACCAAGAAATCAGGATATTTCCTGAAATACAGGATAACCAGGAAATCGGGATAACCAAGAAAGGCCTTAATTTTTTCTTAAGATTTTATTTATTTATTTGACAGAGAAGAGATCACAAGTAGGCAGAGAGGCAGGCAGAGAGAGAGGGGGAAGCAGGACCTCGCTGAGCAGAGAGTCCTATGCAGAGCTCCATACCAGGACCCCCGCATCATGACCTGAGCTGAAGGCAGAGGCTCAACCCACTGAGCCACCCAGGCACCCCGAAAGGCCTTAATTTTTAAGTAAAAATTAAAACAAAAAAAAAAAAAAAAAGGAAGGAGCAAGGAGCAAGCAAGCCATGAGAGTATTGATGGGAAAAGCACTCCAGACAGAGTCAACAGCAAGTAGAGAGGCATGCTCAAAGTGTTTATAGTGAGCAAAAAAAAAAAAAAAAGAAAAACATTCAGTGTGCCTCGACAGAGTGAAAATGACAGAAAATAGGAGTTCAAATCAAGGAGAGGTGGTAAGCAATAGGGAGAGACCCGAGATGAATAGATCATACAAGGCCTTGTAGGTGTTAGAAAGAACTTCGGCATGTACTCTGAGTAAAATCGGAGGCAATTGGGGTTTGAGCAGAGGAAGACATAATCTGACTTATGTTTTAAAAGATCCATTGTGTTTAAAATTAACGGAAAAAGAAAAGACAAAAGAACAAACAAGAAGACCAATTAGGTAATTATTACACTTATACAGACAACAGATGATAGTGGCTTGGTCATGGAGGATGTGTTTGGCTTCTGGATATATTTTGAAGGAAGACCTGACAAGATTTGCTGACAGATTAGATGGGATGTGTATGAAAAAGAAAAAAGGAGTCAAAGATGATACCAAGTTTTTTGGCAGAGCAACTAGAAGAATTGTCATTAACTTAATTAGGAAAGACAAGAAGGGCAGGTATAAGAAAGAACATCAGTAGTTCAATTTTGGACATGTTAAGTTTGCAATACCCAATAACTATCCCAAAGAAATATCAAATAGCTGGTTTTATATGTAGGTCTGGAATTTCACAGAGAGATGTGGGCTGGAGATACAACCTTGAGGATCATTAGAATATACAAGATAGTAAAAGTCAAGAGAAAGAAGATCAAGGACTGATTCCTGGAAGACTTCAAGGTGGAAGAGGTGGAGAATGAGGAGAAAGAAGCAAATCAGGCTAAGATATACAGACTAGAAAGGCAGGTGGTAAGCAGATGAGTGAGTTGATATCCTGAAAGCTAAATGAAGATAGAATTTTGGAGAAAAGAGTTTCCCAATGGGCCAAATATTTCTGATAGGTTAAATAAAATGAGATCTAAGAAATCATGTCTAGATTTATTAGAATGAAAATCAGTGGTGGGGCGCCTGGGTGGCTCAGTGGGTTAAGCCTCTGCCTTCGGCTCAGGTCATGATCTCAGGGTTCTGGGATCGAGTCCCACATCGGGCTCTCTGATAGGCAAGGAGCCTGCTTCCTCCTCTCTCTCTCTCTGCTTGCCTCTCTGCCTACTTGTGATCTCTCTCTGTCAAATAAAAAAAATCTTAAAAAAAAATGAAAATCAGTAGTAACCTTTGAAAAATCAATTCTGGAGTAATGGGACTGGAAATTACTAGTGAGAATTTAAGAGTGAATGGGAGGGAAATAAGGATCACTGAGTGTACATGGTTCTTTTAAGGATTTCATAGCTAAGTGGAATGATCATAGATGACTTAATTTTCTTGTTTGGTTCAAACCTTACACAATGATGACGTAGTATCTTTGTAATACTTTGAAATTTTTTAAATTACATACATGTAGCACTAAATTTTCTTTTCTTGTTTGTTTGCTTGTTTGTTTTAAGTGCCATACCAAGGGGACGCTTCAGTGGCTTAGTCTGTTAAGTCTCCAACTCTTGGTTTTGGCTCAGGTCATGATCTCAGGGTTGTGGGATCTAGTCCTGCACAGGGCTCTGCTCTCAGTGCCAAGCCTGCCTGTCCCTCTCTCCACCACCACACCTAACCCCCAACTCTCTCTCTAATATAAACAAATAAAATCTTTAAAAAAAGCCAGACCAAGGCATTAAATAATTCATGAAATTATACAAGCAAAAGACTCCTTAAAAATTTTCTAGATATATAATATTATATAAACTGATTATCACTTTTTCTTATGCTTAGAGAGACCACAGAAAAACTCTAAGTACCAACAGCAGTATTTCATGCTTGATAAAAATCATCTAACTCTAGGATATCTTCTACTATCCAAAATAATTAGTCATATTAAAATTCTGTAAGAGAACTACAAGGGGTTTATAATGCAGATAATATTCCTATTTTGTAAACTGAATTCTCATAAATTCTAAAATATGAGGTCACTATTGAAAATTTTGGTGTGGCACATGTAGAAATAGATTCTCTTTAAAAAGGAAAGATAATAGCACATGTGCATGGTACCTTAAGAAGAAGATTCAACGCATTAGCAACATCTTGGTTTATAACACAGGGATCAAATCAAATGTTTGTATAGAACATGGGACAAGTTGACATATGAAATCTCTTGGTACTACTCAGATCAATTTGAGGGTCCAACATTTGAGCACTCGTGCATTAGGAGCCAAAACCAAAACCTAATGACTAGCAATTTTGTTGGTAATAAGAGTGCCAGAATAGCAGGTAACTTCCTTTTGCAACACAGCAGATATTAAAAGTATTCTATTTTTCACAAAACTCGACCATTCTCCTACACCATACACAAAGATAAATTCTAAATGGATGAAAGACCTCAATGTGAGACAGGAATCCATCAAAATCCTAGGACAGCCCATAGGTAGTAACCTCTTCAACATCAGCCACAGCAATTTCTTTCAGAACATGTCTCCAAAGGCAAAGGAAACAAAAGTGAAAATGAACTTTTGGGACTTCCTCAAGATAAAAAGCTTCTGCACAGCAAAGGAAACAGTCAACGAAACAAAGAGACAACCCATGGAATGAGAGAAGATATTCACAACTGACACTACAGATAAAGGGCTGGTATCCAAGATCTATAAAGTACTTCCCAAACTCCATACCCAAAAAACAAATAATCAAGTCAAAAAATGTGCAGAACAACAGACACATGAGAAAGTGCTCCACATCACTCAGCAACAGGGAAATACAAATCAAAACCACAATGAGATACCACCTCACACCAGTCAGAATGGCTAAAATTAACAAGTCAGGAAATGACAGATGCTGGTGAGGATGCGGAGAAAGGGGAACCCTCCTACACTGTTGGTGGGAATGCAAGCTGGTGCAACCACTCTGGAAAACAGCATGGAGGTTCCTCAAAAAGTCGAAAACAGAGCTACCCTACGACCCAGCAATCACACTACGGGGTATTTACCCTAAAGATACAAATGTAGGTATCCGAAGGGGCACATGCACCCGAATGTTTATAGCAGCAATGTCCACAATAGCCAAACTATGGAAAGAACCTAGATGTCCATCCACACATGAATGGATAAAGAAGATGTGGTGAATATATATACAATGGAATACTATGCAGCCATCAAAAGAAATGAAATCTTGCCATTTGTGAAGACGTGGATGCAACTAGAGGGTATTATGCTGAGTGAAATAAGTCAGTCAGAGAAAGACAATGATCATATGATCTCCCTGATATGAGAAAGTTGAGAGGCAACGTGGGGGACTTGGAGGGTAGGAAAGGAATAAATGAAACAAGATGGGATCAGGAGGGAGACAAATCATAAGAGACTCTTAATCTCACAAAACAAACTGAGGTTTGCCGGCGGGATGGGGGTATGGAGAGGGTAGTTGGGTTACGGACATTGGGGAAGGTATATGCTATGGTGAGTGCTGTGAAGTGTGTAAACCTGGTGATAGAAAGTTATATTAAAAAAAATGGGCAGAAGACATGAACAGATACTTCTCCAAAGAAGATACACAAATGGCTAACAGACACATGAAAAAATGTTCATCATCATTAGCCATCAGGGAAATTCAAATCAAAACCACAATGAGATACCACCTTACACCAGTTAGAATGGCCAAAATTAACAGGACAGGAAACAACAAGTGTTGGAGAGAATATGGAGAAAGGGGAACCCTGTTACACTGTTGGTGGGAATGCAAGTTGGTGCAGCAGCTTTGGTAAATAGTGTGGAGGTTCTGCAAAAAGTTAAAAACAGAGCTACCCTAAGACCCAGCAATTGCATTACTGGGTATTTACCCCAAAGATACAGATGCAGTGAAAAGAGGGGCCATATGCATCCCAATGTTCATAGCAGCAATGTCTACAATAGCCAAACTGTGGAAGGAGCAGAGGTACCCTTCAACAGATGAACGGATGAAGAAGATATGGTCCATATATACAATGGAATATTCCTCAGCCATCAAAATGGGTGAACACCAACATCTGCATCAACGTGATGGAACTGAAGGAGATGATGCTGAGTGAAATAAGTTAAACAGAGAAAGACAATTATGACATGGTTTCACTTATGTGTGGAACATAAGGAAAAGCATGGAGAACATTGGAAGGAAGGGAAAAATGAAGGGGGAAAATCAGAGGGGGAGATGAACCCTGAGAGACTATGGACTCTGGGAATCAAACTGAGGGTTTTAAAGGGGAGTAGGGTGGGGAAGTTGAGTGAGCCCAATGATGGGTATTAAGTAGGGCTTGCATTGCATGGAGCCCTGGGTGTTACACACAAAAACGAATCACAGAACACTACATCAAAAACTAATGAGGCCATGGCGACTGCCATAGCATAATTAAAAGAAAAAGAAATGCTCGGATAGAAAAATAAGTAAGTAGATAAAAGTATTCCAAAATTTGCATAAAATATGACATCAAACCAAAAACTTTAAATATACTTTGTTAAACAATCAGTACTTTGTAGACCTAAACTCATTTTTTCAAACAGTCGCATACTACATTGTTTTACAGGGGTGAAAATTTACTTCCCTATTGACAGATACTGAGACTATCTCCAACTTTTTTATATGAAAATAATGCTATAATAAATATCTTTAACATATGTCATATTTTATATATATAACAATGTATAATAAATGTCCTTAGAATGTGTGTGTGTGTGTGTGTGTGTGTGTGTATGTTTACACAAGTCATGTTTTCCTATAGGATCTAGTCCTGGCAATGAAGCTCTTGGCATAAAGAGACAGAATATTTAAAGCTTTTGAAACACAATGCTAAATCACCCTTCAGAAAGGATTTACCAATTTTATTTAACAACAGTATATAAGAATACCCTTTTCTTCACATTTGCTAACTTTGGTTGTTAATTTTTAAATAAAATATTTATCACTATGACTGCAAAAATGGTATCTCATTATTTAAATTTTTCTGATTAGCACCCAAATTGAAATAGTCTTACTAAAAACCATAAAATTTGTTAATCATGAATGTTAGCTCCAACTAGAATTTGTTTTATAGGAAAATAATTATTACCTACTATTTAAATATTGCTATAGGCTTACCCATCAGATTCTTCATTTTCCGTAATAGGACATAGGTTGTTATCAGTTTTTCCACTCCCTATTGGGTGCATTAGTCCAGCAGCAGCAGAAGCATATATGCTTTCCAATACTGCCATTTCATCATTTTGGTGCTTCTCCGTTTCTTCAATCTTTAATGGAAGTTTGATACAAAGGATAATTGTTACTAGTTTATTCATTAAAAAGAACTTTTTATTCATTAATTATAGATGTTTTAAAGATTTTATTTATTTATTCATCAGAGAGAGAGAGAGCACAAGCAGGAGGAGGTGCTGGCAGAGGGAGAAGGAGGCTCCCTACTGAGCAGGGAGCCCAGTGCAGGACCCCATCCCAGAACCCTGGGATCATGACCCGAGCCAAAGTCGGCACCAACTGAGGCACCCAGGCATCCCAGAACTTTTTTCAATAATTATATCATTTGACTCTTAGTTTGTCTTAATTTTAATTCACAAAAATATTTTGTGGTTATCGTTACAAGTAAGTGCAATTTTTATAAATTCTGCTTCATTTCTATTTCAATAAAGAGAGAGGAATTGGGACGCATGGGTACCTCCGTGGATAAGTATCTGCCTTCGGTTCAGGTCATGATCGAGTCCAGACCTGCTTCTCCTTCTGCCAGTACCTCCCCCTGCTTGTGTGCACCTGCTCTCTCACTCTCTCCCTCACTCTCACTCTCTCTCTGACAAATAAATAAAATCTTTAAAATAACTAGCTAAATAAATAAAATTAAAATAGCAGAATTTTCCAAATTTTCAAAAAGGGCTTTCTTAATTTTGTATTCACATCCATGCTTTTCTACCTAACATTCTCCACCCTACCCTATCTGATCAGCAGATAAAAAGAAATAAAAAGACAAAGACATAAAATCTGTGGTCTTCTGTCTTTACCATCTGGATTTTGCATAAACAGTTAGATTTAAAGGCTGTGACATTGTGGTGCTCTAGGAACAAAGAGGAAGCTTTCCTCTTTTTGGACTGAGCTATTCTTTCCCCAACTGCCTCTTATAATCCTTTTTCCATTTGGTCCCTAGGGTTACCAGTAAAGTGACAGTGTTCATTAAAATACATGATCCAAAATCCACCACACCAAAAAAAAAAAAAAAAAAACAAAAAAAAAAAAAAACCCAGAGTGAATCTGCTCTTAGTGCAGAATTTTGGGAACTGAGTAATGCTCCCCAAATTCCACATTCAGTAACCATAAAATTTTATCGCTAGAGGGTATAAAAGTAATTATCAACTTTAATCCCATTTTCTACTGATGATGGGAGTAAAACCAAAAAAGGTTAATGATTTGTCCAAAGTTCCTAAAGTGGCATTCCCTAGCATTTTATGGCACCAAAAGAGATGATATAATTCTTTAATGCCAAATCAGATAAGTTACTAAATTCATTAAATTAACCAGATACATTAAAAGTGTGAAATTGGCACAGTAATTTAATACCTTAATTGGGGATGAGGTGCTTAGCTTTTTCTGTTAAAGAAGGATATCTCTATATTTTTGTCTATTTTTTAAAAATTCAATTCACCTCAAAAGTCAGTTTTCTCCCTTCCAGTTAAATACTGAAGGTTTGTTGAAGGTTTATGCTACCTACATTATAAAAATCATACATGTCAAAATGGACCATACTTTATAAAACATAATATGAAGGTTTGGCTCAACAGAAATGTGTGGAAATGGTGATTAAAAAGAAAAAAATGTGGAGGGCGCACCTGGGTGGCTCAGTCAATTGGGCCTCTGACTCTTGATTAAGGCTTAGGTCATGATCTTGGGGTCATGGGATAGAGTCCTGCATCAGGCTCCATTCTCAGTAGGAAGTCTGCTTCTCTCTCTCCCTCTCTCTCCCTTTGCCCCTCCCCCTGCTCATGCTCTCTAAATAAATAAATAAATCTTAAAAAAGAGTCTGTTTAGGGGCACATGGGTGGCTCAGTCTGTTAAGTGGCTGCCTTTGGCTTAGGTCATGATCCCAGCGGTCCTGGAATCGAGCCTCACATCGGGCTCCCTGCTCAGAAGAGAGCCCGTCCCTCCCTCTTCCTCTGCCTGCTGCTCTGCCTACTTGTGGTCTCTTTCTCTCTGTCAAATAATTAAATTTTTAAAAAAGCTTTAAAAAAAAGAATCTGTTTTTAAAACATGTGGAGAAAAAAAGTGATCATACAAATATTTGTTATTAAAAATATCTCAAAGTGATTGTGTTGGAATTCTAAGTTCCAAGAGTGAGTGAAGCAGAGAAGACTGCACATACTGAAACAATAAAAAGAAGCAATAAATAGATTGGTTTAGCTGAAATATTTGTTTATATCCTCTTTCTTGTCCTTGTTTCTTTCCCATTTTATTGTTGATGTAAGTGCTATTTATATTCAAGCCAATAGATAACAATGAAAACCCTAGAAATGGGACACCTGGGTGGCTCAGTGGTTAAGCTTCTGCCTTTGGCTCAGGCCATGATCCCAGGGTCCTGGGATGGAGCTCCAGGTCAGGTTCCCTGCCCAGGAGAGTCTGCTTCTCCCTTTCTCTCTTCCCTCTGCCTCTCCTCAACTCATGCTCTCACACGCACACACATGCTCTCTCTCTCTCTCTCTCCCCCTGTCTCTCAAAGAAGTTAATCTTAAGAAAAAATCTAGAAATTATTATATATTTTTTTAAAATGTATTTATTTGGTGAAGAGATCATAAGGAGGAAGGGCAGAGGGAGAAGGAGAGAGAAACTAAAGCAGACTCCACGCTGAGCTAAGTGCCCAAGGCCGGGCTTGATCTCACGACCCTGAGATCACAACCCAAGCCAGAAACAAGAGTCGGATGCTTGACTGTGCCACCTGGGCGCCCCAAGATAACTGCATTTTTTAAAGCAATTTTCTTTACAGTTTTTGGTTCATGAAGTCACAAGGTACAGAGATATATTAGTTTCCCAGTTCATATGCCACTTGGCAGACTGACAGAGAAACTTAAGGAAAACAAATCATAAGAATGTTTTTCCTGCACTCCTACCATTTAGACAGCAGAAATAATCTGCTTACATATTTAGACAACCCCATATGATACACGAACCTTTTCATAACTGGAAAATCAAAATGGCTCAGGTCATTGATAAAGAAAAGAACAAAAGAGCAGCTCAAAGTGAACCTCTACCTCTTTTTGAAGTTCAACGTTTCTCTGTTCCAAAGACAGGAACTCTATCTGCAACGTGCCTATCTCATTCTTCAACTTTTTCACATCTTGCTATAAATCTTCCTCTATATACACTTCTGATGTTCTGTAACTACATGTTGGAGAACTCCCATTTTCTAATTTGGGATCCATACTTCTATAGTTATTAGTACTGTCATTAGCTGCATATAATGGCTTCTAGAATAAGTCTTTTGTTTTCTTCTAAGCGTTTGTAACAGCAGAAATATTGTGCCTTTTTATTTGACTCTTTCGTCTCATCTCACTGAAGCAGGCAAGCCAAGAATCAAAACGGCTTCCTGGATTACTAGACTGAGGTATACACCCAATGTCTAATTTACAATCAGTGCTAGATTGGTTTATACTTTTTGCCATTTGCATGTCAAACTCTTGGTCTTCTTTCACTTCAAACGTAACCCGTGGGTTCCTTACTTTTTTATTTTCTCTATCACTATCAAAACTCTCATTTTTGTTAAAAATATGCTCAAAGTCTGATTTGTTATCATTTTCAGAGTCTGATTTATTTTCACTTAAGGAAAGATCAGAAGATGACCGGCAACTATGATCCGAGGATGAATGAGAAAGAACGACATTTTCGAGTCTAGACTCTTTCTGTTCAGGTAATGCCTGAAGTGTGACTAAGACAGGCACTGAAAATACATCTTTTTTCTCACAATCAAATCTATCATTTGTCAAATTAGAAGGTATTTCCGTTAAGTTTGCTCCTTCTTTAAAGGGACCATATAGTGACTCTTCCTTAGGATAAGCAGTAATCTTGTTTTTTTCACAAATTGTACCACACTTCTGTTTTAACTATCTGGTGATGAGTTTTAACTTATTTTTCCACTCTAATTTTCTTGCTTGGTCCACATGTCCTCATACTTTTGAACAGAGGGATGTTCTGAATATAAAAATATATCATCCTCTCTATCACATTCCTTATTCATTCCTGGTTCTTGAGCCATTTTTGACAGATACAAAAGTTAAAATTGCTGTGTTTGATTTTCAGATGTCCTTTCTGTCAGCATACATGTTTGTAAAATAACTTTATCCTTAAGTAATCAAGTATGGACAAAGAAAAAATTAGAAAATAATTAAATTTAACTGTTAAATTTCTTAATCTATGTTAAACTGCTCCCAAGTCACTGGATTGTAACTAAGAAGCAAAAAATAACTTGCCCTAGCCTGAGACAGAAGAAAAACACAAATCCATAAACTTAACTTTGTCAGTTTTTTTAAGCTAAACAATTCATTACATGTTACATCTACCAAAAAATGAATTAGATGATTTTCAATGTTACAAACTTAAAAACATTTTATCTTGCCATACCTTAAACAGTGAGCCCCAATAGTGAATTTGAAGATTTTTTTAAAGATTAATGACTAAAGAATAGGCAAACTTATTATTAGGAGCCAAAATCAATAAACATCAATCAGAAAGAAAAATAAATTCCTAAATTTTAATTCAAATTATATACTATGATAGTGTTATACATCACTATAAATTATCTGCCTGCATCTAGCAATTGTAACGTTCACTGAGAGTGGATAAGAAAAATGTTAATAATATTTACAGATTCCCTATACTGAAATGAAATAACTGAAAAAGTAGCTGTTTATTAACCAACTACAAAGGTCCCATCCTGGAAGGTGTGATTCTACAATAGGCAATTGTGTTGATTTTATGACCCTACTCTCTGAAATCGACTACACAGAGATCACAAGGCAAAATAAATCTTTAATCTTTGCATTAGTGACTGGCAATACAGAACTGCACATTTTGAACCACTGAGAACTGCACCTTAAGAACCACCAAGAACCACTCCTTCTACATGAGTCTAAGTCAGTAGTCATCATTGTTATACTGCTCATAATTTCAACTGCTTAAACATACGGTTCAGTATTTGATGTTACCTTTTTAGCATGTGAAAACTTACAAAAATGGAAGAAGCAAACAATATTCAGGAATTTTTTTGGACCAATTCCAAGGATAAAGTTTAACTATAAGCTACTATAAATTCTAACAATATTTTAAATTTGGTAACTTGTAAAATTTTACAAAAACTAAATATTAAATTATAATCTATCAACTTCAATATATTTTGTTCAGAAGATAATTTCAATTGAACTATGTTACATTCTTAAAGCAGGGAAAACAATATAAAATTGGAAATTTAAATTTAAATTTGTATATACCTGCAGGTGTTTATTTTCACTTTCACTAAGACTTTCTTCCTCCTCTTCTGTTGTCATTTCTAAGTCTAGTTCTGCTGAAAAATCTATATGTTTAATTAAAATGGACAAATTAGAATGGTTAGATAAAAGCTATAACCTTCATAAAAATAGAAAACAACATCTTATCAATTAAGAGTTTAAATTAAACTTAATCTTTAGCTGAATATTTACTCTAAGAAATACTTTTCAATATCAAAAACTTCAACAAACCATTTGGGAAATACTAAATGTCACTAGGTTAAAGGCATACAAACACCTCAAAGACTCATTCACAAATTCACCCACCTAACACCAATGAACAAAACAATCAGAAACAAAATTTTAAAATGCAGCAGAAAGATATAAAATCACAACAGACTATTCTTTACCTTGTTACAGTACTTCTTAAACAACACCCTAAGCTTCAACTACAACATTATTCATGGTTTCCAAAATTACTAGTATTTTTTATGCCATTATCAGTGTACAACCTTCCTACGGGTGTATTTACCTGATGAGTGTAAACATTCCTAAAATGTTTTTCTCTACTACTTGCCAAATTTCATCACATCTTATAGGACACAGACTGCTACATAAAGTCATCCTTGATTATGGCTACCCTTCCCTAGATAAACAGATCTCTTTCTTTGGGGCTATGTTAGTACCATACAGATTTTTCTAGTGTATCTTCACCACCTGAACTGTAAGTTACATATATATATAACAAAAGTAACAAAAGAAATATATATATATATACATACATACATATGTATGTATATATATATATATTTCTTTTGTTACTAGACTGTATGGGACAATCTCTCTCTTTTTTAAGAGAGAGAGAGGGGGAAGGAGAAGAGGGAGAGGGAATTTTGACCAGGCTCCAAACACAGCACTGAGCCCCACACGGGGCTTGATCTCCCAACTCTGAGGTCATGAACTGAGCCAAAATCAAGAGTTTGACAGTCAACCGACTGAGCCCCCCAGGGGTCCCTGTATGGGACAATCTCATAAATCATCTCTGTGTAAACACTCTCTATTTTACTCAGTAATTATTTACTGAGTTTCCAGTAAGTGCTAGGCACCCAGGTTTAAAGAAGCATGTAGATAAAAGGTGTCAGGAATGGATTTTCTAGAGATAATGCCTGAACTGAGACAGCAACACTGAGGTCAGACAGATTCAAAGGGGTTAGAGGGCGGAAAATGGGGGGAGTATACAAGCCCGTAGTAAGAAAAGGGAGAGAAACACACAAGAGGGTAAATATCTGTCTAAAATACAGGAATCAAAGAGGAAGACATCAAAAGCAGTTCAGAATGCCAGAGAAAAGGGCAGACAGTAGAAAGGGTTGGAGAGCTTAGCAGAACTCAAAATTATGAAAGCTTTATATGTAATTTTAAGATACCTGGACACAAACATATTTTCAACAATGGCTCACAGTCATACTTGCGTTTGAGACACATCACTCTAAATGCTGTGGAGAGGGATGAATTTGAGGGGCATTGTAATAAAAGGTGGGAGATGAATGAGAAGGCACTGATGCAAAGTAAAGATGAAGCACACCTGAACTGACAGAATCGTTCTAGAAATATTAAGGATATAAAATTATCAGGGCCAGTACAGAATAAATCTATATTAAATGAATAAACACACAATCTTGGGTCCCTAGCAACCAACTTTGCTCATTACTTTATAAAAGGCATCAAGTGGGAATTATTCTACATGAACTGTTTTAAGTATTTATTTTATAATTTTTCTGTTCCATATCTTCCTGTGTTACAGGAACCTGTGGGTGCTTTGTTTTAAAAGCCCTGCTTCTTGGATCCACCAAGCTCACGAGGAAGTAACAGGAACAAGTCACTTGTATAGGTAAATAACTTTGAATTTATTGTCTGCATTCACTAGTCTAGGAGATAATTGAAAATCTTTTGAAAAATATACTGTTAATTCTACAAGTAAAGAAAGAACATAAAACTACAGGGGTGAAAAAAATACTGTACAATTTATTAGTGCCGATCTGAACATATGACTGATAAAAGCCACTGAGTTAACTGGTACATTAAGTAGAGCACACATTAGATATGGTTAATCAACAGACTGAGTATATCAGGAGAATATTATTTTTAAATGATTTAGTACTCCTTAAAACCAATATTCCACTTATTCATCAAAATTAATGAAGGGGGTGCGCCTGGGTGCCTCAGTCAGTTAAGCGACTGCTGCTTTCAGCTCAGGTCATGATCCCAGGGTCCTGGGATGGAGTCCTGCATCAGGCTCCCAGGTCAGTGGGGAGTCTGCTTCTCCCTCTGCCCCTCCTCCCACTTTTTCTCTCAATCTCTCTCACTCTCTCAAATAAATAAAATCTTTTAATAATAATAATAATAATAATAAAGGGGCATCTGGGTGGCTCAGTGAGGTAAGTTGTCGGACTCTTGGTTTCAGCTCAGGTCATGATCTCAGGGTTGTGAGATCGAGCCCCACATCAGACCCCATGCTAACAATGAAGCCTGCTGCTTGAGGTTCTCTCCCTCCCTCTCCTTCTGCCTTCCCTCCCTCGCTCCCCATTTTCTTGCTCTCTAAAAAGATAAAAATAATAAAACAAGGAGATAGACTCTGCATACATAGTTGAGAAGACAGTACTATATAGTAAATTCTCAATGATTCCCATTATTGCTGGGAAAGCCAACTCTAAAATAAAGTCATACAGAATATAGAAAATATTTTAATATTTGGTTTGGGAAGCTGCTTTTTTTAGTTACACTGAATATAATTTGACCAATACTTGTGAATTTAAAGCTATAAAAATAAAGCTAAGAAACTGTGTTTTCAATAAGCAATCTTTAGACCTCTACCTAGTATTCCCAGCTGGACACAAACTTCTAAATATAATCCTGCTACCCACTCTCAAGTGAATGTTAAAAAATAGCCTAAAAGAAATTACTTTCTCCTAATTCTTTTTTTTTTTTTTTTTCTTAAGATTTTATTTATTGGGTGCCTGGGTGGCTCAGTTGGTTGAGCAACTGCCTTCGGCTCAGGTCATGATCCTGGACTTCCAGGATCGAGTCCCGCATCGGGCTCCCAGCTCCTTGGGGAGTCTGCTTCTCTCTCTGACCTTCTCCTCTCTCATGCTCTCCCTCACTCATTCTCCCTCAAATAAATAAATAAAATCTTAAAAAAAAAAAAAAGATTTTATTTATTTATTTATTTGACAGACAGAGATCACAAGTAGGCTAAGAGGCAGGCAGAGGGAGAGAGGAGGAAGCAGGCTCCCAGTTGAGCAGAGAGCCCGATGCGGGGCTCAATCCCAGGACTCTGAGATCATGACCTGAGCCGAAAGCAGAGGTTTTAATCCACTGAGCCACCCAGGCGCCCAACTTTCTCCTAATTCTTATTCCTATGTTGCTTTGGTTAGAAGAAGAATGCAAATGTCCTGCTAAAAGAAACTGGTTGTAGGTTGCATAAAAGGAGTAAACACAAAGTAAAGTTTGTCACAAAATTATTTTTGAAAAATCAGAACTATGGTGAGGTCATGGAGAGGTTGAATTCTCTATGCTTCTTCATTACCTTCTTTGTGCTCTCTGTTTCCTGGTAGCTGTGATTCGCACACATGATGGAGTTTAGAATTTTCTAACATAAACACAGCTCCGATATTATTAATCCTTTTTTTAAAATTTTAAATATTTTATTTATTTATTTGACAGAGAGAGAGATCACGAGTAGGCAGAGAGGCAGGCAGAGAGAGAGGGAAGAAGCAGGCTCCCTGCTGAGCAGAGAGCCTGATGCAGGGCTCGATCCCAGGACCCTGAGATCATGACCCGAGCCAAAGGCAGAGGCTTAACCCACTGAGCCACCCAGGCGCCCCTTATTAATCCTTTTTTTAATCTATTAAGGGCATCTGTTTAAACTCTGTGGATGCCGACCACTTTTTGGTCACCGACTGTAATATAGACGGGCGTTTACCATCAACATTCAAATCCCTGGATCCTTGACAAATTGCACTATTTTGGTTCAAACCAGTAGACTTCCAATTGGACAAATCTAAAAAGCAAAGTTGATTTATTAGAATGTAAATAATAACACAAACTTGACTAATTTGTATAAATTCTTTTGTCAGAGAAGCAATCCCATGTTTTGCTCTTCTCCTAGACGTATTACTACTCATTCATAGCTTATTGTATTTTACATGTCCTATACTTGCCATTCACAGAGATGAATTTAGCTTCCTTTCATTTTTTGTATTCTCTAGTATTACATAGTTTAATTTACTCACCATGCTCTATTACGTATTCAGTATTCCATAAGAGTTTTTGTTCAATAATGACTAAGATTTACCAGGTTATAAAATTGCGGGTAACAAAATTTATTTCTAACCATTTATTTTATGTTTAAAGATTTTATTTATTTATTTGACAGAGATCACAGGTAGGCAGAGAGGCAGGCAGAGAGAGAATGGGAAGCAGGCTCCCCGCTGAGCAGAGAGCCTGATGCGGGGCTCCATCCTAGGACCCTGGGATTATGACCTGAGCCGAAGGCAGAGGCTTTAACCCACTGAGCCACCCAGGTGCCCCTTTATTTTATGTTTAAATACATACTGTCTATTCCAAAGACATGCATTTTAAAAAAATTTTAATGAATGGTACTACTTAAACTACAATGAGATTGTCTTTCCTCAATACACCAATATCTTCAGAAATCTTTAAGTCTTAGACAAACTAAGTTTATATGAGAAAAGAAAGCCTTGGGGAATGTAATCATTTCCATGTAAAGACAGGCCAAGTCTCGGGCCACACTAGATCCAAAAACTACAGTGCCATGAAACAGAAAATGAATATATAATAAAAATATTTTCCTTTTTTTAAAACAAGATTGTCTGATTTATACCTCTTAAGTGAAGGTAAAAAGCAAGAAATGCAGGAATGAAACCTTAATGCCCATTTCATCAAAAGGGCCCCATTATCACTTTGAATCCATGAACCCTGTACATGGTTTAAAACAGTTCTCCCATGTCATCTGAGAATCCACAGAGTTCCAGGATCCATGCATTCACAGGAACCAAGAGGTCAAAACTATTTTCACAACAATGATAAATGATATTTGACATTTTCACTCATTCCCTTCTTTAGTGTATGCTGAAGTGTTCTGAACATACGATACGTGATAGTATCACAACTTGCATGATTAATGGATCATAGCTCTAATGGCTAACAAAGTATGATCGTATTTGCTTCTTTATAAATGTTTGTTTTAATTTCTACTATTGTAAATATCAACAGATGGAACGCACTTAAACAGAAGTTCTTTGGAATTCCCAATAAATTTTTTAAAAGTATACAAGGACCCTCAGGGGAATGAGTTTCAGAATTTCTGTTGTAAAGGATTATGTCTACCAAATACTAAGATATAACTACTTACTTCCCTCATTTCCAATAATCAAACACACCACAGACCCATACACACACACACACACACACACAAATCTGCTAATCAGAACATCTGTCTGGCTTAAGATGAACATCGACACTAGGATGAAATAAACTTAAAACACAATTCACATGTTAGCAAATGAAGCTAGACTCTAAGTAAAGTTCAGAATTTGGATAAACATTGTGAACCAGAAAAAGGTTAGAGTCTAATAACTAACTTCTGGGAAGCCCTAGGAATTAAAGGGGTTCCAAACTGGGAACATTAGGAATTTAAAACATAAAAGTAGAAACTTGAGCTAAAGCTTACATTTTTAAAATCTCTTCTTCTTACACTTGTAAATATCTTTTGTTCAAACATGGATATCAGGAATAACATCTACCTTATTAATATCAAATACTTGATTTAAAATTGCCCCCCCCAAAAAGGAATTCAGAATAAAAAGACTGTGAGCATTTCAAATATTTTTACTGTACTACCTTCCACAGTTAAATTTCTATTGTAAAATTTACCTGATTCGGATGTTTCTTTTTCCTCCATTTCTCCTGGTTTATTAGGAAGAGAATGGTTTACTTCAACACCAGGCTGAATGGGTATTGAAAGAACACAATTAAGACAATGTACATTTCATACAATCTGTAGTTAAAAATTCAAAATAAAAGTATAAGTTTTACCTTCAAGTAAGAATATTTTCCTGGAGAATCTAAAAAGCAAAAGGGACATATACTTACTTATATGTAAATATGAAAGCCAACTAAACATTTATGCAGTTGGTACTAAGCTGAATCCTTGAGCCTGGCTCTGATTACATTAGGTTTTGGTGTTCTGTTTCTGGAGACAGGAAGGTAGGTTGGGAAGAAAAGCAATTTCTAATGAGAGAACAAATCATGACCCTGAGTGGACAAATGAGAAAGCCAATGGTAGAATGCTACCTCACATCCTTAGGGCAGTACAACAGAATCATTTATATCATTAGACTGTAAGTATTTACCATGTTCTTCAATTTCTCCCACAATTTAGGCAGTACACACTTCTGATGATAGTTCAACTGAATACATAATTGAGTTATCATCAGAGAAAGTGTTATGAATTGATCAGCTTGGATATACACTTTTAGGATAATACTTACTGAAAGTACTCATTTTAATCCATACCCATGTGGGCTACTGCTATGCCTACATTTGTGGTATCCTCTAGTTTAGCCATCTTAAAGTTTCTTGATCCACTCACTCAAGAAGGTATATAAAACACATCTAAGAAATAAGGTACAATAAGCTTTCACTATGGAACTATGACTACCAAAATGGGGGAAAAAATGTATTTAAATGACACAGAACTCTTAGGTACTGAAAATCCTTTGTATTTCAGAATCAGTGTCACACTTACTGATAACAACAATTTTGGCATTTAGGGAACCAACCCTATAATTTCTTTTGTTTCCAAAACTACTGTGATTTGGTAGATCTTGTCTTTTTTTCTTTTTTAAAGATTTTATTTATTTATTTGTCAGAGAGAGAGCCCAAAAGCAGGCAGAGTGGCAGCAGAGGCAGAGAGAGAAGCAGGCTCCCCTCTGAGCAAGGAGCCCCGTGGGGACAGGATCCCAAGGATCCTAGGATCATGACTTAAGCCGATTTAACCAACTGAGCCACCCAGGCGACCCAAGATGATGTCAGACTTTAAACGGTTTTTGGAATCAGCAATAGTACCAATAAATTACCTATCTTTAAAAAAGAAAAAAAAAAAAGCCGTAGCTTCCGAATCTCATTTAAATAATGAATACCAATGCAACACATAACTTTGATGTCCAGTAGATGTGAGGAGGATTAATACATGGCTGATTGACCCCATGTCTAGCACTCCATCTGCTTTCAGTATTCTCTGTAGAGCTGCTGTGATTTAATCTGTTTCTAGTGCAAATACCCTCGAGCCATCTCAAGTGAATTCCTGGAGTTTCCTCCTCAACTCCAAAATTTCCCAGCTAACGTGCCTTTCTTTCTTCGCTGGTTCCCATCACTATCCCTCTTCATAAGTAATTTCTGGGGGCGCCAGGATGGAGCAGTGGATTGGGCATCCGGCTGTTGAAAAGCTCAGGTCATGATGGCACGGTCCTGAGATAGAGCCCCACATCAGGCTCCAACTCAGAAGGGAATCAGCTTGAGGCAAATCTCTCCTTCTCCCTTTGCCCCTCTCCCTAATCACTCACTGTCTCTCTCATTCTCTCTCCCTAAAACAAATAAAGAAATCCTTTAAAAAAGAGTTATTTCTGGATCTATGGTCTTGATTGTTCTGCTTTTACACGCCTTTTATTAGGGATTGTCTCCACCACTTCTTTCCTCTTTATTTAACACTAGTATCTTACATCTATAACCTCTTTCTGCAACTCCACGCTCCCCTCTAGCTAAAAACCTGCTCACAATAAAAAACAAAATAATGCTTTCCCTTCATCCTATGGTGTCTTGAAGTATCCAGGGCCATTCCAGATGTCTCTATGTGGAAGTCTACACCCTTGCTACAGAGCACATGACCCAAAGACCACTGACATTCGCATTACCTGACAGGTCAGAATGCAGAATCCCAGACCTGCTGCTCACAATGTGCATTTTTAACAAGGTCTCTGATGATTCAGTAAAATGGGAGAAATTCTGGTCTATACTGAGTCTGCTGCCACATTCCGTTACCTTAACTTAACCCTCTAGAAGCAAGCCTCACGTTCATCACTATCAATTCTTCAAAACTGGAAATGTCTTAAAAGTCATAAACTTTCTAATGGACTTTTTATCACGGTTAAGGTTTCCTTGATTTCCCCTGAACTGACCCTGCTCTCTTCTTCCTTCCTTCCAATTCTCTTACATTGCCATATACATGCCATTAAGACACCCATTCTTATAGCTGACTAGATCATAGCTCTGCATAATCAACGACATCCTTAATGTCTTCCCAATAGTGAGGAAAGCAGTAAGAGGGGGAAAATTTTGGTATCCTACTCTGACAGGTTTTGGTACCGGAAGCTCACCTGATACACTTCTGGCATTTAAATAGTCTGCTATTCCTTTTAAAAGAATTGAGCTAAATCTTACATGTTTCAAAAGCTCTTTTTCTTAGGCTTGTAAATATCGTTTGTTCAAACATGGATATCAGCAATAACATCTACCTTATTTATGTCAGAACCTTCACTGAAGCTTGCCCCAAAATAACTAACTAAATAAATAAAATAAAAAGACTTCAGAATAAGAAGACTGTGAGCATTTCAAATATTTTACTGGACTTCTTTACACTGTTAAATTTGTATTGTAATATTTACCTGACTGGGATGCTTGAATTTCCTCCACTTCTCTGGGTTGATTAGGAATAAACTCTTTCCCCTCCACAGCAGGCTAAATGAGTATTGAAACAGTATGATTAAGACATAATGAACATTTCAAGCAATCTGTAGTTAAAACCTCAAAATAAAAATGTAAGTTTTACCTTCAAGTAAGAATATTTTCCTGGAGAATCTAAAAAGCAAAAGGGTCATATAGTTAACTCCATGTACATATAGAGGCCAACAAACACTCATGCACTTAGTACTAAGCTGACTCCTCATGCCTGGCTCAGATTACAAATAGGTTTTGGGGTTATTTCTACAGACAGGAAGGTGAGTTGGGCAGAAGAGCAATTTCTAATGAGAGGAACAAATCGTGACCCTGAGCAGACAAACGTGAAAACCAATGGTAGAATGCTACACCACATCCTTAAGGCAATACAGCAGAATCATTTATACCATTAGACTCTAAGTATGTATGACCGTCTTCAATTTGTCCTGTAATGTGGGAGTACACAGTGCTGATGATAGGTCAACTAAATGCATAATTGAGTTTTCATCAAACAGAGCCTTATGAACTGATTAGCTTGGATATATACTTGTAGGATCACAGTTACTAAAAGTACTCATTTTTGTCCATACCCGCATGTGCTACCGGTATGCCTACATTCCTGTATCTACTAATTTAGCCACCTTAAAGTTTCTTCATCCACTTAGGCAAGAAGGTGTATAAAACACATCTAAGAAATAATGTACAATAGCTTTAAATATGGAAATATGACTATGTATATGGAACAAAATCTATTTAATTGCCACAGAAATCTTAGGTACTGAAAATCTTTTGTCACTGCCATACTTATTGATTATAACAATTTTAGCCATCAGGGAACCAACCCTATAATTTTTTTTTATTCCAAACGTAGTTTGATTTGGTAGATTAGGTCAGTCTTTCAAGGGTTTTTGGAAATAGCTATCATATCCAAAAATTACCTATCTTAAAAGAAAGCCATAGCTCCCATATCTCACTTGAGTAATGAAGATCAACATAACCTGTATCTTTGATGCCCAAAAGACCTGAGGAGGATGAATACGTGGCTATGATTGACCCCATGTCTAGCACTCCATCTGCTTTCAGTATTCTTTGTGGAGCTGCTGTGATTTAATCTGTTCTAGTGCAAATACCCTCATGCCATCTAAAGTGAATTCTCTTGAGTTTCCTCCTCATCTCCAAAACTTCTCAGCTAACGTGCCTTTCCCTTTTTCCTTGTTCCTGTCCCTATCCCCCTTCTTCAAAGTAATTCCTGGGGGCGCCTGGATGGAGCAACAGATTGGGCATCCGGCTCTTGATTTCGGCTCACGTCACAATGGCATGGTCTTCACAAAGAGCCACGCATCCGGCTCCAGGTCAGAAGCGAGTCTGCTTAAGGATTCTCTCTCCCTCTCCCATTGCCCCTCGCCCTGATCACTCACTGTGTCTCACATTCCCTCTCCCTAAAACAAATAAAGAAAAATATATTACAACAGAGTTATGCTGGATCTATGGTCTTGATTGTTCTGCTTTTACACGCCTTTTATTAGGGATTATGTCCACCATTTCTTTCCTCTTTATTTAGCACTGATATCTTATATCTATAACCTCTCTTTCTGCATCTCCATGCTCCCCTCTAGCTAAAAACATGCTCACAAATAAAAACAAAATAATGCTTTCCCTTCATCCTATGGGATCTTGAAGTATCCAGGGCCTTTCCAGGTGTCTCTATGTGGAAGTCTACACCCTTGCTACGGAGCACATGACCCAAGGACGTTTGACATTCGCATCAGCTGACAGGTCAGAATGCAGAACCCCAGACCTGCTGCTCACAATGTGCATTTTTAACAAGGTCTCTGACGATTCACTAAAATGGGAGAAATTCTGGTCCACATTGAGTCTGCTGCCACATTCCTTTACCTTAAGCATCTAGACGCAGGCCTCACGTTCGTCACTATCAATTCTTCAAAACTGGAAATGTCTTAAAAGTCGTAAACTTTCTTTTACTTTTTTAAAAAAAGATTTTATTTAATTATTTGTCAGAGAGAGAGAGCGTGCACAAGCAGGCAGAGTGGCAGGCAGAGGCAGAGAGAGAAGCAGGCTCCCCGCTGAGCATGGAGCCCGATATGGGACTCAATCCCAGGATCCTGGATCACGACCTGAGCGGAAGGCAGACGCTTAACCAACTGAGCCACCCAGGCGTCCCAAAAAGTCATAAACCTTCTAATGGCCTTTTTTATCACTGCTAAGGCTTCCTTGAATTCCCCCTAACTCACCCTGCTCTCTTCTTCCTTCCCGTCTCTTACTCAGCACTCAATGATACTATTTATGAAGTACCACCACTTTATATGCCATTAAGATACACACACTCATCGCTGACGAGAACATAGCTCTGCATCATCAGCCATGGCAGTCCTGAATGTCTTCACAACTGTGAGGAAAGCAGGAAGAGGGGGAAAATTTTGGTATGCTACTCTGACAGGTTTTGGTGCCTGAAGCTCACTTGATATTATTTCGGCATTTCAAATAGTCTGCTCTACCTTTTAAAAGAATTGAGCTAAAGCTTATGTTTTTTAAAAGCCTTTTTCTTAGGCTTGTAAATAACTTTTATTCAAACATGGATATCAGCAATAACACCTATGTTATTTATGTCAGAACCTTCATTTAACCCTGCCAAAAGGAAAAGAAAGACTTCAGAAGAAGACTGTGAGCATTTCAAATATTTTACTCGACTTCTTTACACCGTTAAATTTGTATTGTAAAATTTACCTGATTGGGATGCTTGTATATCCTCCATTTCTCTGGGTTCATTAGGAACAAAACCTTTCCCCTCCACAGCAGGCTGAATGGGTATTGAAACAATATGATTAAGACATAATGAACATTTCATGCAATCAGTAGTTAAAAATTCAAAATAAAAATGAAAGTTTTACCTTCAAGTAAGAACATTTTCCTGGAGAATCTAAAAAGCAAGAGAGACATATAGTTAATTATAGGTACATATGAAAGCCAACTAAACATTCATGCAGTTAGTACTAAGCTGAATCCTCATGCCTGGCTCAGATTACATTAGGTCTGGGTGCTCTGTTTCTGCAGACAGGAAAGTGGGTTGGGCAAAAAAGCAATTTCTACTGAGAGGAACAAATCATGACCCTGAGTGGACAAACGTGAAAGCCAGTGGTACAATGCTACATCACATCCTTGAAGCAGTACAGCAGAATCATTTATACCATTAGACTCTAAGTATTTACCACCTTCTTCAATTTGTCCTGTCATTTAGGCAGTCCACAGTTGTGATGATAGTTCAACTGAATGCATAATTGAGTTTTCATCAGAGAAAGCATTACGAACTGATCAGCTTTGATACACAGTTGTAGGATAACAGTTACTAAAAGTACTCATTTTTGTCCATACCCACGTGGGCTACTGGTATGCCTACATTCCTGTATCTACTAGTTTACCCACCTTAAAGTTTCTTGACCTACTCATGCAGAAAGGTACATAAAACACATCTAAGAAATCATGAACAATAAACTTTCAACATGGAAGTATGACTACCAAAATGGAAAAAAACCTATTTAATGGCCACAGAATTCCTAGGAACTGAAATACAATTGTATTTCAGAATTAGTGTCATATGTACTGATAATAACAATTTTAGCATTTAGGGAACCAACCCTATAATTTCTTGTGTTCCAAACGTAGTTTGATTTCGTAGATCATGTCAGTCTTTCAAGGGTTTTTGGAAACAGCTATCGTAGCAAAAAATTACCTATCTTAAAAAAAGGGAGCCATAGCTTATGTATCTCATTTGAATAACGAATACCGATGTAACCTGTATCTTCGATGTCCAATAGACATGAGGAGGATGAATACGTGGCTATGACTGACCCCATGTCTAGCATTCCATCTGCTTTCAGTATTCTTTGTAGAGCAGCTATGATTTAATCTGTTCTAGTGCAAATACCCTCACACCATCCAAAGTGAATTCTCTTGAGTTTCCTCCACGACTCCCAAAATTTACCAGCTAGGGTGCCTTTCCCTTTTCCTTCATTCCCTTCACTATGCCCCTTCAAAAAGTAATTTCTGGGAGTGCCTGGATGGAATAGCGGATTGAGCATCCGGCTCTTGATTTCGACTCAGGTCATGAGGGCAGGGTCCTCAGATTGAACCCTGCATCGAGCTCCAGGCTCAGAAGTGAGCCTGTTTGAGGAATCTCTCTCCCTCTGCCTTTGCCCCTCCCCCTGATCATTCTCTCTCTCATTCTTGCTCCCTAAAACAAATAAAGAAAATAAATTCTAATAAAAGACTTATTTGTCGATCTATGGTCTTGATTGCTCTGCTTTTACACCCTTTTTATTAGGGATTATCTCCACCACTTCTTTCCTCTTTATTTAGCACTAGTATCTTACATCTATAATCTCTCTTTCTGCATCTCCTTGCTCCCCTCTAGCTAAAAACATGCTCACAAATAAAACAAAATAATGTTTTCCTTGATCCTATGGTGTCTTGAAGTATCCAGTGGACTTTCCAGATGTCTCTATGTGGAAGTCTACACCCTTGCTATGGAGCACATGACCCAGGACCTTTGACATTCACATCACCTGACAGGTCAGAATGCAGGATCCCAGACCTGCTCCTCATAATGTTCATTTTATTTAATTTTTTTAAAAGATTTTATTTCTTTCTTTGACAGAGAGAGATCACAAGTAGGCAGAGAGGCAGGCAGAGAGAGAAGGGGAAGCAGGCTCCCTGCTGAGCAGAGAGCCAGATGCGGGGCTCAATCCCAGGATCCCGAGATCATGACCTGAGCCCAAGACAGAAGCTTAACCCACTGAGCCACACACGCGCCCCTCACAATGTTCATTTTTAACAAGGTCTCTGATGATTCAGTAAAACTGGAGAAATTCTGGTCCATACTGAGTCGCAGCCACATTCCTTCACCTTAACTTCACCTTCTAGAAGCAACCTTCACGTTCGTCACTATCAATTCTTCAAAACTGGAAATGTCTTAAAAATCATAAACTTTCTAATGGACTTTGAATCATGGCTAAAGCTTCCCTGATTCCCACGAACTGACCCTGCTCTCTTTTTCCTTCCAATTCTCTACTTTGCACTCAATGATACTATTTATGAAGTACCAACATTTTATAAGCCATTAAGACATACACACTTATTGCTGACTAGAGCATAGCTCTAAATAATCTGCCATGTCAGTCCTTAATGTCTTCCCAACTGAGAAGAAAGCAGGAAGAGGGGGAAAATTTTGGTACACTATTCTGACAGGTTTTGGTACCAGAAACTCACTTGATATTATTCCTGCATTTCAAATAGTCTGCTCCTCCTTTTAAAAGAATTGAGCTAAAGCTTACATTTTTCAAAAACTCTTTTTCTTAGGCTTGTAAATATCTTTTGTTCTAACATGGTTATCAGCAATAACATTGACCTTATTTATGTCTAATCCTTCACTTAAACTTGGCCAAAAAAAATAATAATAATTCAGAAGAAGAAGACTGTGAGCATTTCAAATATTTAAATGTACTTCTTTCCATTGTTATATTTATATTTTAAAAAACCTGATTTCGATGTTTGTTTTTCCTCCATTTCTCCTCCTTTCTTAGGAACAGAATCTTTCTCCTCGACAGTAGGCTGAAGAGGTATTGAAACAATATGATTAGTACGTAATGTACATTTCATACAATCTGTAGTTAAAAATTCAAAATAAAAATATAAGTTTTACCTTTAAGAAAGAATATTTTTCCAGAGAGTCTAAAATGCAAAAGGGACATACAGTTAATTGTGTGTACATATGAAAGCCAACTAAATATTCATGCAGTTAGTACTAATATGAATCTTCATGCCTGGCTGTGATTACATTAGTTTTTCATTTTCTGTTTCTAGAGATAGGAAGGTGGGTTAGGATGGTGACAAGACAGAAATATGAACCCATTATAAGTATTGAACAAAAATACAAAATATAGGCTCAACAGAACATGCAGTTAGGATTTCAAAAGTCAGATGATGTTTCAAAGGAGCATAACTAATATAGAAGACTGCACATATACCAATGTGAACATGCTGACTGATGGGGAGAAAAGCAACTTTTAATGAGAGGAATAAATCGTGACCCTGAGTGGGCAAATATGAAAGCCAATGGTAGAATGCAACACCACATTAATGCAGTACGGCAGAATCCTTTTTACCATTATACTACAAGATTTCACCATGTTCTTCTATTTGTCCTATTATTTAGGCAGTCCACGTTTGTAATGATAGCTCAACTGAATGCATAATTGAGTTTCCATCAGAAACATTATGAATTGATTGGCTTGGATATACACTTGTAGGATAATGGTTAATAAAAATACTCATTTTGTCCATACCCATGTGGGCTACTGGTATGCCTACATTTCTTGTATTCTCTAGTTTAGCCATCTTAAAGTTTCTTGATCCACTCATGCAAGAAGGTATATAAAGCACATCTAAGAAATAATGTACAATAAGCTTTCAATATGGAAATATGACTATCAAAATGGAAGAATTCTATTTAATTGCCTCAGAAAACTTAGACACTGAAAACCTTTTGTATTTCAGAATCAGTATCATACTTACTGAAAATAACAATTTTAGCATGTAGGGAACCAACCCTATGATTACTTTTGTTTCCAAAAGTAGTTTGATTTGGTAGACAATGTCAGTTTTTAAAGAGTTTTTGGAATCAGCGATAGTACCAATAAATTACCTATGTTAAAAAAAAAAAAATAAAAAGCTATAGCTTCCGTATCTCATTTAAATAATGAGTACCGATCTAACATCTATCTTTGATGTCCAGTAGACCTGAGGAGGATGAATACGTGGCTACGATTGACCCCATGTCTAGCACTCCATCTGCTTTCAGTATTCTCTGTGGAGCAGCTGTGATTTAATCTGTTCTAGTGCAAATACCCTCGAGCCATCTCAAGTGAATTCTCTGGAGATTCCTCCTCAACTCCAAAACTTCTCAGCTAATGTGCCTTTCTTTTTTCCCTCATTCCCGTCACTATCCCTCTTCTTCATAAGTAATTTCTGGGGGTGCCAGGATGGAGCAGCGGATGGGCCATCCAACTGTTGATTTCGGCTCACGCCATGATGGCACAGTCCTGGGATCGAGCCCTGCATTGGGCTCTGGGCTCGAAGTGAGCCTGTTTGAGGCATCTCTCTCCCTCTGCCTTTGCCCGTCCCCCTAATCACTCACTGTCTCTCTCATTCTCTCTCCCTAAAATAAAGAAAGAAATCCTTAAAACAGAGTTATTTCTGGATCTATGGTCTTGATTGTTCTGCTTTTACACCCCTTTTACTAGGGTTTATCTTCACCACTTCTTTCCTCTTTATTTAGCACTAGTATCTCACATCTATAACCTCTCTTTCTGCATCTCCTCGCTCCCCTCTAGCTAAAAACACGCTCACAAATAAAAACAAAATAATGCTTTTCCTTGATCCCATGGGGTCCTGACCTATCCAGTGGCGCTTCCAGATTTCTCTATAGAAATCCCTTGCTTCAGAGCACATGACACAGGGACCACAGACATTGGCATCACCTGAGACGTCAGAATACAGAATCCCAGACCTGCTGTTCACAATCTGCATTTTTAGCAATGTTTCCAATGATTTACTAAAGTTGGAGAAATTCTAGTCCATACTGTGTCTGCTACCACATTCCTTTACCTTAACCCTCTAGAAGCAAGCCTCATGTTCGTCACTATCAATTCTTCAAAACTGGAAATGTCTTAAAAGTCATAAGCTTTCTAATGGACTTTTTAATCACGGCTAAAGTTTCCTTGATTTCCCCTGCACTGACCCTCGTCCCTTCTTCTTTACAATACTCTTACTTTGCACTCAATGATACTATTTATGAAGTACCACCATTTTTATGCCATTAAGGTACACACACTTATCGCTGACTAGAACATAGCTCTGCATCATCAACCCAGTCCTGAATGTCTTCCCAACCATGAGAAAAGCAGTAAGAGCAGGAAAATTTTGGTATCCTACTCTGACAGGTTTTGGTACTGGAAGCTCACCTGATATTATTCCTGCATTTCAAATAGTCTACTCCTCATTTAAAAGAATTATTTTGGTGGGGTTATGGACATTGGGGAGGGTATGTGCTATGGTGAGTGCTGTGCAGTGTATAAACCTGGCGATTCACAGACCTGTACCCCTGCAGCTAAGAACACATTATATGTTAATAAAAAATAAAAATTTTTAAAAAGAAAATTAGAAAAATAAAAAAATAAAGAATTATTTTATTTTACCACCTTCCACTCTAAGAGCTGATTATTATCTTTCATTTATTCCCTATGTTCTTTGACTTTCTCATCAGTCACTCTTTTGATCCTTTCCACTTATTTCCTGATGTTCCTTTGGTCTTAGAGTATCTTGAAATGGAACCACTAATTTAGCTCCTTTGTGGCACCCTCAGTTTCACTTGTTACTCACACCTGATAAGACTTCAACTTATCTCCTTTTCAATCTTTCTCCTCTCTATCTATTCAATAGGTGATTTTCTTCGGATATTTAAATATATCAGTATTTCCATTTTACATCAATATTTTATCAAGTGACTTTCTAATAAAATCCAATTCTTACCTTCTACTTGTTCATTTAATGGACTTGTCCCTTTCTGATCTGCATTTCCAGATAAATGATCAATGTATGTCTCTGGAAGACTCTCAGAATTACTCTGTTAAAATGGACAACAAAAATTGTATAAATTGTACAAAATTGAGTTGTATAAAGATTTCCTAATCCTTTTCTAAGAAAATATCTGAATTTCCTACTTTAATAGTAATCAGACTCACAAATAAGAAAAACATGTACTGAAAACCGAAACATTTAAACACCTCATATATGCTTTCTAAATTAAGTGTAATGTTTAACCTTCATTTGGCCACTGACTGTAAACTGAACATCAAATGCCAGAGTAAATATTTTCTTGGACAGAACACTGACTTATATGTACATTTCAACAGGAACTAACAAAATACCTAACTCTCCTTTGCATTCCCCACCAAAATAAAAGGATATTAAAAATATGTATTTAAATAAATTCTCTAATAAGTATATTTGCTACAAATTTAAACTGTTCCTAACAGCAGAACCTTTTTCCATGTTAAAATAGGACACTTGACATAGGAAACCTTGGAGTAGATCATGTTGAGTATAAAGAGTACAGTGTGGTAACTGCTGCTTCATTTGGATAAACAAAGGCTTGGAAACTTTATTGACAGGATAATGGTTAAATGCAATGACAAAGTAAGAAGAAGAACTTTTCTTGAAATTATGTTTAAATAATAGCAAAAAATTTTAGATATAGGTATGAAACTCTCCAAAAAGTATAATTAGCTTTCATAAGTGAATAATAAGAACATTTATTTATTAATTACCTAAAAGGTACCAGGCATTTATTAAATTTAGTATACCCATTTTCTTTTCTACAAACAACAATAATACCAATGGTTATGACA